TCTTAGAAAGTTGAATTACATCGTATTTACGATCGATATACCACATCTTTTCAATTAACGATACATTTATGTTGTAAAATTGTTATAACATGTTTGCCAACATGGAATTTTATAAATCTGCCAATATGGGAGTTTGATTATCCAGGTTTCAGACGTCTAATTAGGTCTGGTATATATTTATGAAATATGATCAAAGTAAATGAGCCAGGCCACAGGAAAAGGGGTCTTATTACAGATTTTTTCAATATTCTGATTTTTTGTTTATCTTAAAACGCACAAAGAGACCTTTCGAACAAGCCACAGCTTATGTCTTAACAAATTTTCCTTACAGATATATACCAAAAAGACGGATTCGAATTTAGCACATCTTGAGCACATTTTTGGCCCTGTAACAAAATTAAAAATTTTATGATAAGACCGGTTTTCCCATGGCGAGGCTCAAATATAGTATATCTACAGTAAAATGTACAATATGATGTAGTAATGTTATCGAATTGTATATATTAAATAAATTATTGTTGTTAAATAACAAAAACATCGTGTTTTTTTCATTTTGAAATAAACGTTTGAAGAAGCGGAAGCAAAGTTTAGGAAACAACATCTGAGTGGAATAAAGCAGCCACAGTGCATTGAGTCTTGGGCTTAAATTATTTTCAAATATTGCAAATTGTTTTCTATAAAATTACCTTAAAGATACAAAATCACTAAAAGAGCATATTTTCAATTAAAATTCTTGCAAGCGTCAAGTGTTGGAAAACTCAATTTCAATCTCAATCGCTTAGCAACTGTACACAACAAATGCGTATTATTGATATTTCACACACTGTTCATTCTGTGAATACTCTATCTGTTCGGATTGGCTGGAATCGGACACACCTTGCCTAGCTATGTGTGAATATCCAAATAATCCTGAGCTGAAATACCGTGCATCGTACACAAATAGGGTTGCAAAAAGAATGCGCAAAACCAATACTAGGTACTTGGTGAGGATATCGTCTTCTCCCCTGTGAACGCTCTCACCCATGGCTCTTAACCCAACACTACGACACATAAGCGTACACGTAGATATGCACGTAAATCTATACACGCTGCAAAAATCCCTCTAAAAATTGGTTTTAATAATGTGGAGTACCTTGGACTTGCAAAAAACGAACTCAGTGAACTTCTCAATGATGAGTATATTGACTTTTTTTTATTAAAATCAATGTAACATATTTACAGGTTGTATAGTGTATAGTGGCTATGACCCCCAAGAGGGAGTATTAGGTGCCACATACATTAATGGTATTTACAATGATTTGTGAAATATTATGAGAAGTGTACATGTAATTTTGGGAGTCTGTGAAACCTTTTTCAGTGATCGTAACCCTTTAAATGTATCAAATGATGACTATACCTGGCTAGGTAAAAATAGAATTGATAGACCAGGTGGGGGTAAAGGATTCTTTATCAATAATAATATACTTAACTATATGCGATGATAATTTGCTTGAATCTAACGATGATACTTTTGAAAGGTACTGGATTAAGGTTCAGCTGTATAATAATGTTTTTGGCTTTGGCGTTGTATATTTCCCAAATGAATGGAAGAGTGTGCCCATAAGTGAAGCCCTTTCTGACGAGCTTGCACGTAATATTAACATGATTAATGAATTGAGTAAAAGCAATGAACATATTATTTTAATGCAACTTCAATGGACGCATTAAACAGTTTTTCCATGGCAAAAATAGCTACAAAGGAAAATTGATTGATGTGTTATTAAGTGAAGTCACAAATACCACTATTTTGAATACAACAAAAGAATGCAATGGCGAAATAACATGATCACGAAACAATCACACATCAAGGTTAGACTATGTACATGTCAACAAAGCATTCTCAGATATTTACAAAAGTATGATTATACATGAAGACCATGATCATGATGTGTCCGTGGGCAGTAGTCATGTATTCTTAGTAGTCCATGTGTCTTTAGCAACTAAGCCCAGCAAACCAAACCACCAGAATAAGTGTGTAAATGATTTTACTAAAAATATGTTAAGGATGTAGCTATGTCTACCATTGGTACTAAAACAGTATCTGTGAACCAGCGCTCATTTTGAGATGACGAGATAAAAAATCTCATCAGATCCCGTAAACAAGCATGTCGTTTCCACAGATATTGGAGTAGATCAAAATGTTGTGACCCTGATATCCTTAGTGAATTATGGGAAATGTACTTAACACGCGAACAGCAAGTCCATGATGCTATTAAGCAACGTCATATTCAAAATTATATTAGATGTATTACAAAAAAATGCACAGAAGCGATCCAATTCTTAATCATACTGGAAGACTCTAACTATGTTCAATGCACGGGCTGGTCATCCAATTCAAATTAAAGTTTTCAATGATCCTGCAGACTAATATCACTGACCCTAAGCTCATATCCCAGATACTGGGTGATTATTGGAAAGGTGTTGGCATAGCTAACATAAATCCTAACACTATACGCACGTTGATCTTAAAGAGCAATTGGGCAATTTAGAGTCAAGTTCTACATTTTCTGACAATGCCATTTTTAACTTCACCTTTGACCTTGATTATCTTACACGGTGTATTAAAAAGCTTGATAATGGTAAAGCTGTTGGGAAGCTGTTCCAAATGAATTCATTAAAAATGGAGGCCTTTCCCTTCATAGTTCACTTTCGAGCTTTTTTCTGAGATTAAAATTCAAGAAAAATTTCCGCCAGAATGGAAAAGTGTCTCCTGCAGCCATCACGTGAGGCTGGTGACAAAGAACTCTGACAATTATAGGGGTATTACAATAAAATCAAATGTATATAAACTTTTTACCTCTCTTATAGAGAAGAATATTCTGCACTTCTTTGAAAATAATGATATTCTTGACGACCTTCAAGGTGCATTTCGTGAAAACCTGAGATTAGAAAATCACATTTTTGCTCTTAAGGGTTTATGAATCATGAGAAAGGACAAGAACCTTAAAACATATTTAGCATTTCTTGACATATCTAAAGGGTTTGACGTTGTTGACAGAGATGTGCAAGGCAATTCTAAACGGGGTGCATAATAATTCACTTTATTATGCACCTCATTAAAATACTCAAATCTGATTGGTTCTTAGTTGCTTGTAATTTGGCAATACTCTGCTCTTTTCTGAAAACTGCCGGATATTTTTTTAATATCTGACCCTTTCGAGAAAAAGGGTCGGATATTTTTTTCAATGTTTTTGCAACATTCCCACTTCAGAGTTTTATTTCTTAATAACTGCCGCCTCGCCCAATATTTTTTCTCGAATAGGTATTCTGCCATATCCAGCTCCTGATCATCCAGTATTTGTTTAATATTGCCCGCGTTAATGCATTATTGGCCGGCCACTATGGCCAACCACTATGACGTCACATATTGCTCAGGTCGATATTAAACAAATACTGGATGATCAGGCGCTGGATATGGCAGAATACCTATTCGAGAAAAAATATTGGGCGAGGCGGCAGCCGAGCCCAATATTTTTTCGAGGATAGGTATTCTGGCCATATCCAGCTCCTGATCATCCAGCTTATTTGTTTTATTATGCTCCTCCCAATCAAAGTTAGGTGGAGTACTTACTGGAGTACAGGCTTAAACTGTCGTTTAGTTGACATTATTTTGACATTTATTTATTTTTTCTTTCAAAACTCAGACGACTGTTGTTTGACGAGAATGCAATTAAGTCATGATTACACATGTTCTATACTCTTTTGATGTATATAAGGGGAGGCATCAAAAGATCAATGTCTGATAGAAAACTAAATAAATCTAGTTTGGGGGAGGGGGTCAAAGCTATTTCAGTTTGCTAACCGACAAATTTCAACATTTAAATTTTTCGCAATTTCGACTCGAAATGCCTTGGAATGGTTTAAAAATAAAGACTTTACCAGATGCCTTCTTCACCAAGATGCATGCAACATGGAATATTATGCCTATTGTTGTTGGCACATGTTTTAAGAATCATAAATAAGTTATAGTACTGGCCCCATGAAAGTCCAAATTGAGTCGCTAAAACATGTGAAAAGTCCGCGATCAACTTTCATTGTATTTAGTTTTGAGGAGGAAGGGGGGGTCCAACTCAAAACTAGATTTATTTAGTTTCCTATCAGACATTGAACTTTTGATGCCACCCCTAAAAAGCGTCAATAACGTATTGATTATTTCTCGTATTCCTTGGTCATCAAAATGGGTCACAGAAATTATTTTATTTATTTTCCTTTATTCATTGGCACGGCCACTGATTATCAGGGCATGTCCTAAACTTTTATAACAATAACAATATGAATATATAGGAAACAGAGAATATATATAAAAATGTATAACAAATTTAAGTGCATGCATTATTATATATATTTATTTATATCTTGGAAGAATTTTGAGATTCCTAATGATACTCTCCATTACAATCTATGCTATTCGTGCAAAAAGTGAACGAGAACATCATTTAACCCCGAGCGCACAGTCACAGAAATTATTTTATTTATTTTCCTTTATTCATTGGCACGGCCACTGATTATCAGGGCATGTCCTAAACTTTTATAACAATAACAATATGAATATATAGGAAACAGAGAATATATATAAAAATGTATAACAAATTTAAGTGCATGCATTATTATATATATTTATTTATATCTTGGAAGAATTTTGAGATTCCTAATGATACTCTCCATTACAATCTATGCTATTCGTGCAAAAAGTGAACGAGAATATCATTTAACCCCGAGCGCATAGACAAAGCTAGATATTAGCTTTGATATACGATGCCATCTATAAAATGATTGAAATATTAATTGCATATAATGTATATTCCGATTATATGACCAAAACGGTGTAAATACAATACAATGATTCTAATCTGTAAATAGGTAAATCCAAATCCAATACTCAACAACAGTCGGATTAACGCTTGCAATCAGATTAAAGCTTTTGTGTAAATACATTTTCCATGTTTGATTCGCGATGTTGACGCACCAGCTACCACTACGTTCACGTTATTGAACTGTCGCTGGGCGATGGACCAAATTGAACCACTGTGTGATTATAGCTTGTGGTCAAATCATAGGTTGTTTGGAACTGGATTATAGAATCGCCATTTTACAATGGTAAAAGTGAACCAAAATATTAACTTTCAATTTTGAAATTTTAACATACAGAGTTTGTACAAACTATATTTATCAGAGGAACTTCAATTAGGATTGTAAAGGAAACCTACACCTTCTTTTGGTCTCGAATGACCATTAAATATGGATTATAACGAAATACAAATATATTGGTAAGTTTGAAAAGTTCTGAATTTCAATTAATGTTTGATTAAAGTCTGGAAACTCTAACCTTGGGCATCATATATGTAGACTTTAAAGTAGATTTAGATTGGCATATTCGATATACGTTATTTCTGAAAGAATATATGAAAAATGAGGTTATACATGAAAAACGCCCATTAACGTCATCATGATTTTATAAGATATTACCGGATACACATCAGACATGTCAGATGGGATTGTCATATAGGAAATTAACATTTCTTTTTTAGATTCATTGATAAAAAACAGAAGATGGACTATCGCAGTATGACGCTGGTTGATGGTGTTGAAGGGGAGAGACTTCCTGTTATTGAAGACACGGCACGTCAGAGGAAACAACATAATGATACAAGTGAACCGGAGAAGAAACCACCAAGTAAATGGAAATTACTTGAGGCTGTCGTTGACATAGAAAGGGATAAAATTGATAAACGAAAATGGAACGAGGCGAATAAAGATGCAATAAAAAGAATAAAACGTTCATATAAATGCGCCTGTAAAACATTCAACGCCTTGCCAATGACTCATTTTTCGAAACAGTTGGGATGTAAGGCTATCAGTATGAAGGGCTACGGCCTTGGAGATGCGGGCACTAAGGCCCTATGTGTTGCATTATTAGTAAGTGTTTTCTTGTGATGGGTATCATTTTCTTTAAGTTTACTTCTTTTAAAGGCAGCTATGCCTCCATATATGTAATATACATGTACCTTGTTACAAGGTGTTACCGCTCAGGGTGTCACGTATCGATACATGTGCATTTACATCCTGGGGTTTGGAATGGAAATAGTACCCCATAGGTGGTACATATACATAGATCTATTATAGAGGCACTGCACTGCCTTATAGGCCTATAATTTCTTTATTTTTGGCTTGAGAGGTGAAAAAATAAGCATACATTTGGATGTTTTCATATTTCAGAATGACTATATTCTTACAAATCTCGATCTGTCAGGCAATATTCTTGGTGATAAAGAACTACAATACATTAAACAACTTCTGGAGGTTAACGTGTACATTTCAACATTGGTGAGTTTTTTTCTAATTATTTGTTCAAGTTTCCTGGTGAATGTCGAGTCTCACATCATACGAATGTAATTTTAGTCGACCTGTCTACATGGGGTGTTATTCTATCTATATAGTTCATCACGTTATTTTCAGGATCTTTCGGACAATAACTTCACGACAGAGGGCGCTAGAACACTTGGCAAGATGTTCTCAAAACACAACAGTGTAAATAGACTCAATCTATCAGGTGAGGTTCTTATATGGTGACCGAAATACAACTCTTTCACTCATTATCTTATACGCAATCAGGGCCAGATAGGGCCGTTAAGAAAGAGGACCATATCATTTCTTTCACACCGGTCTGTGAAACAGATTTTGTATGTTCAATGGAGATTTAGTTCTAACATACCAATATACAATACAAACCACATGTAACATCTATCCTTGATCTCTGAAAATTAACTTAAAACATAACTTGATTTTCAGGCAATGATTTCCAAGATAAAGACGCCAAATATATTTCTCTCATAATACGGGTAAGTGTTTATATTGAATTTTACTACATATAAACATACATTTTGGGAGAAAAATAATATCTGAAAATAAAACGGACATTTCAAAATAGGTTTCTTTTTATGTTATGTGACACTTTATTTTTTGCTCACACAATGAGCCTAAAGGATCGACTAAGTGTCCGTCCGTTAGTCCGTCCATCAACATTAGCCGCACAAATCAAAACTGCTTTTCGCATTAAGTCATTTCTACATTCATTTTGTTAATCCATAGTGCCTATTTGACCTGTCATCGCAATTTCCAAAGTTCGCCCGGTTTCCTAAAAATTGCTGACTTTGACGTAAAAAAATTCAAATATTCTTTAGATATCAGACGCTTTTTAAAGTAGAACTTTCAAATACATTTTAGGAGTTGTTTTACATGCAACATGTGTCTTCTGGAGGGTTCATCAAAGCTGGCATAAGAGATAATTTGTGATTGAAAATGTTTTAAAAATAAAAAAGGTGGTGACATAATAAAAATGTTAACTTTTCAACTGTGTTTAATTTCAGTATAACACGGACCTCATCAGGTTAGATCTCAGCCACAATAATTTCATGGAGAGTGGTGGTGTTTTTCTCGGACATGCATTAGGTAAGACTTACCAAAGAGTAGATTGGAAAGCATATTAGGTATGAAGAACAGGCATATGTTTTTTATGAATTGGCATAGTCTGAATATTTCCTTGTTAAAGTAAAAAAAAGGTTTCACTGGCCGAGATCGAACAGGGGCCGCCGTAAAAGATCAGCATGATTGTTCCCTCGCAAAGATCAGAGAAAGAAATTTTCCTTAACAATAACAGGAAAAACTTGCACTGGCCGATTTTTATCAAAATTCTACCACTGAATCACCAGTGCTTTCATATTAACATAAATGCATTTGGCTGTTTTCAAAAATTGGCAAAGTCTAAATTTTAATTTTAAAGATCAGTAAAAAGATTGCACTGGCCGGCAATCGAACCCGGGCCGCCCGCGTGGCAGGCGAGCATGATTATACCACTGAACCACCAGTGCTTTCCTATCAACAAGGCATTGGCTGTTTTGAAAAATTGGCATAATCTGAATTTTCCTTGTAAAGATCAATAAAAATGTTGCACTGGCGGGAATCGATCGAAGCGGGGCGGCCCGCGGGGCAGGCGAGCATTCTACCACTGAACCACCAGTGCTTTATATCACCAAAGCATTTGGCTGTTTTCAAAAATTGGCATAGTCTGAATTTGTCTTGTAAAGATCAGTAAAAAGGTTGCACTGGCCGGGAATCGAACCCGGGCCGCCCGCGTGGCAGGCGACCATTCTACCCAAACCACCAGTGCTTTCATATCACCAAAGCATTTAGCTGTTTTCAAAAATTGGCATAGTCTGAATTTGTCTTGTAAAGATCAGTAAAAAGGTTGCACTGGCCGGGAATCGAACCCGGGCCGCCCGCGTGGCAGGCGAGCATGATTCTACCACTGAACCACCAGTGCTTTCCTATCAACAAGGCATTGGCTGTTTTGAAAAATTGGCATAATCTGAATTTTCCTTGTAAAGATCAGTAAAAATGTTGCACTGGCCAGGAATCGATCGAAGCGGGGCGGCCCGCGGGGCAGGCAAGCATTCTACCACTGAACCACCAGTGCTTTATATCACCAAAGCATTTGGCTGTTTTCAAAAATTGGCATAGTCTGAATTTGTCTTGTAAAGATCAGTAAAAAGGTTGCACTGGCCGGGAATCGAACCCGGGCCGCCCGCGTGGCAGGCGAGCATGATTCTACCACTGAACCACCAGTGCTTTCATATCACCAAAGCATTTGGCTGTTTTCAAAAATTGACATAGTCTGAATTTTTCTTGTAAAGATCAGTAAAAAGGTTGCACTGGCCGGGAATCGAACCCGGGCCGCCCGCGTGGCAGGCGAGCATTCTACCACTGAACCACCAGTGCTTTATATCACCAAAGCATTTGGCTGTTTTCAAAAATTGGCATAGTCTGAATTTGTCTTGTAAAGATCAGTAAAAAGGTTGCACTGGCCGGGAATCGAACCCGGGCCGCCCGCGTGGCAGGCGAGCATGATTCTACCACTGAACCACCAGTGCTTTCCTATCAACAAGGCATTGGCTGTTTTGAAAAATTGGCATAATCTGAATTTTCCTTGTAAAGATCAGTAAAAATGTTGCACTGGCCAGGAATCGATCGAAGCGGGGCGGCCCGCGGGGCAGGCAAGCATTCTACCACTGAACCACCAGTGCTTTATATCACCAAAGCATTTGGCTGTTTTCAAAAATTGGCATAGTCTGAATTTGTCTTGTAAAGATCAGTAAAAAGGTTGCACTGGCCGGGAATCGAACCCGGGCCGCCCGCGTGGCAGGCGAGCATTCTACCACTGAACCACCAGTGCTTTCATATCACCAAAGCATTTGGCTGTTTTCAAAAATTGACATAGTCTGAATTTTTCTTGTAAAGATCAGTAAAAAGGTTGCACTGGCCGGGAATCGAACCCGGGCCGCCCGCGTGGCAGGCGAGCATTCTACCACTGAACCACCAGTGCTTTATATCACCAAAGCATTTGGCTGTTTTCAAAAATTGGCATAGTCTGAATTTGTCTTGTAAAGATCAGTAAAAAGGTTGCACTGGCCGGGAATCGAACCCGGGCCGCCCGCGTGGCAGGCGAGCATTCTACCACTGAACCACCAGTGCTTTCATATCACCAAGGCATTTGGCTGTTTTCAAAAATTGACATAGTCTGAATTTTTCTTGTAAAGATCAGTAAAAAGGTTTCACTGGCCGGGAATCGAACCCGGGCCGCCCGCGTGGCAGGCGAGCATTCTACCACTGAACCACCAGTGCTTTCATATGACCAAGGCATTTGGCTGTTTTGAGAAATTGGCATTGTCTGAATTTTTCTTGCAAAGATCAGTAAAAAGGTTGCACTGGCCGGGAATCGAACGCGGGCCGCCCGCGTGGCAGGCGAGCATTCTACCACTGAACCACCAGTGCTTTCATATCACCAAGGCATTTGGCTGTTTTCAAAAATTGGCATAGTCTGAATTTTTCTTGTAAAGATCAGTACAAAGGTTGCACTGGCCGGGGGCCTCATTATCATCTGGTCGCAAATAGTTGCGTTGCGTCTGCGATGCGATTGCGATCGCAATTCGTAACGCATGCGATGCGTGATATTATCAATTGAGCGCAATCGCAGACGCAAAGCAATCGCAAAACAATTAAAACGTAAGTTGCGATCGCAAGTCTAGAGTGTATTTTGGCGCGAAATTTAAAAGGACACTGGTGCTAGTTTTTGACATTGATTGATTGAAATTGATAGAAATCCAATAATTGATATGATTTGATTCGTTGCGCATGCATTACACTTGTGCAAGACATAAGTGCGCCAAAATGCAAATCGATTTACATTGAACAGACGGTAGTCGAAGAAACATGTCGAGGGCAAGGAATTGGGCAAATGATGAACAAGAATTATTAGTATCTCTCATTGAGAAGGATGCAAATATTCTTTTGGCACCACTTAGCTGTCAAATAACAATACAGTCACAGGATAGTTGCTGGGCAAGGGTAGCTGAAAAATAAGTTCACTTGGTGTGGAAATGAGGACTAGAAAAAACGTTTTGTAAGTCATACATCACTGAAAATAAATAACTGTTAAAACGGGAAGTTGTCATGTTACTGAAACTCACTGAAATAAAATGAACTTTTGGTCGTTGTTGTATGTGTTCTACAATGCTTCTATCTAAAATCCGTCAACATAATTTTTCAACAGACAATGAAACGATAACAGCTAATGATTTTTCTATTTGATGGTGTATATTTTACATTTTATACACATGCAAGAAAATTGCAAGTTGTGGGTTCCATATCGATATATGTTTAAATATGTCTCCAGCTGTGTATTGCATTTATTTTCCTTTGGAACAAAATATGCATTGTGATCAAAGCAAATCATGTTTGAATCAGGGTCGGGATGAAAATGTGAAAATCTACAATTTTGAGACGAACTCTCATTTCAAATTGAAAATCTTTCCGACGAGTCAACTTCAATGCGATGGGTGATGCTTGGACAACAATCTGTCTGTAATTTGTAGTAATTTGCACTGATATGCATTTATTCTATTATGTAGAATTAAAAACGTTTCTATTCATATTCAAACTCGATCAAATAAAATGTCTTTAATATTTAATCTATCTGGGAACATAAAGATCATTCAGAAAAACGAGCACCTCAAATACTGTACAAAGATACCACAGGAGTTCAACCATTGATCAACATTTTTAGAAACCCCGGGATGAATTGATTGTTCCTATTCTTTGGTGTCAGTTCGTCTTCAAGAAGGTTTATTACCTCTATTAACAATGCTCTCGGCATTCTGTATCTCTGGAGCATCTCGATGTCATTTAGTGAATCGAGTGGGTTAAACCTATCTCGAAATACTCTTCGGCCAATACGATTGTGGTGATCCACAATGAAATGAAACATCTTGGTGTTCTTGCACTTTTGCAGACGATGTAGGTGAGGTACAAAAACACTAGGAATACTCAGAACATTAGTGTAGTAGTGGCAAGATTAATTCACCAAACAAGCTCTATTAGCTAGATAAATATTTAATTGGCGAAAATCCTATGCTCCAAAGAGCACGAAATATTGCAGGCACCAATCTAAGACGAATACACAGTATGTGATGCGTTCGCAATATTTAGAAACAAACGTGATTTTTAAGGATTTGCAGGCTCAATTAAATGTATATTTTAATCATATTAAATAAATAAAATTGAACAATTTCTTCGATACTATTGATTAATACTTAACAGGTAGTGAAATGACCGATATAAAACACCACAAAATATCCATTAACATAGATAAAATTACGCTCAGAGATGAACTAGATTTGCGATTTGATTTGCGACAGGGTAAACGCCGTCGCAACTTTTTGTTAAGTTGCGATCAGAAAATCGATAACTTTGCGTCAGACTTGCGATGCGATGGAATGATAATAACATTTTTGGGAAATAGTTGCGTTGCGATGTCTTGCGATGCGATTCGCATGCGATTTTGCGTTGCGACCAGATGATAATGAGGCCTCGGGAATCGAACCCGGGCCGCCCGCGTGGCAGGCAACCATTCTACCACTGAACCACCAGTGATTTCATATCACCAATGCGTTTGGCTATTTTCAAAAATTGGCATAGTCTGAATTTTTCTTGTAAAGATCAGTAAAAAGGTTGCACTGGCCGGGAATCGATCGAAGCGGGGCCGCCCGCGGGGCAGGCGAGCATTCTACCACTGAACCACCAGTGCTTTATATCACCAAAGCATTTGGCTGTTTTCAAAAATTGGCATAGTCTGAATTTGTCTTGTAAAGATCAGTAAAAGGGTTGCACTGGCCGGGAATCGAACCCGGGCCGCCCGCGTGGCAGGCGAGCATTCTACCACTGAACCACCAGTGCTTTCATATCACCGAGGCATTTGGCTGTTTTCAAAAATTGACATAGTCTGAATTTTTCTTGTAAAGATCAGTAAAAAGGTTGCACTGGCCGGGAATCGAACCCGGGCCGCCCGCGTGGCAGGCGAGCATTCTACCACTGAACCACCAGTGCTTTCATATGACCAAGGCATTTGGCTGTTTTCGAAAATTGACATAGTCTGAATTTGTCTTGTAAAGATCAGTAAAAAGGTTGCACTGGCCGGGAATCGAACCCTGGCCGCCCGCGTGGCAGGCGAGCATTCTACCACTGAACCACCAGTGCTTTCATATCACCAAGGCATTTGGCTGTTTTCAAAAATTGGCATTGTCACTGCTACCCACCTAATTACACAGACGTATCGTCGGTGTATCATGGCGGAACTTCCTCCGGGACTAGGTTTCGATAAGATTTTTTTATTTCCCGATTTACACCTACTTATAAGTCACGTTGTGGATAATAATTTGGCTCGAAGTTAAGGAAGATAGTCTAGTTTGAGAATGTGTCGATGGTTTTAGGTTTTATATGTTAACAAAGACACAATTCACGTATTTAGTCCCTCGCTTTTCTTACACTGACGAACGACCAATATCAGTGTAATATTGGCAATATATATGCAGGCTAGCATTCTACCACTGAACCACCGGTGCTTTTATATCACCAAGGCATTTGGCTGTTTTCAAAAAGTGGCATAGTCTGAATTTTTCTGGTAAGATCAGTAAAAAGCTTGCACCGGCCGGGAATCGAACCCGGGCCGCCCGCGTGGCAGGCGAGCATTCTACCACTGAACCACCAGTGCTTTCATATCACTAATGCATTTGGCTATTTTTAAAAATTGACATAGTCTGAATTTTTCTTGTAAAGATCAGTAAAAAGGTTGCACTGACCGGGGCCACCCGCGTGACAGGCGAGCATTCTACCATTATCTACTGATGAATCGTTTTTTAGAAAAATTATTAGCAATGTTTAACTGTATTATTGTTCCATTTAGTTTCTTTCTTTTATCATCATCTTGTTTTTCGTTGATTCGCCAGTTGTTTTGATATGTTTAGATGATAAAATATATATTCCTGCATACGTGTGCACCTGTTGAGAACCTGTCAACATAACCTTTTACTTATTAATGTAGGGTCTAACAGGGTTCCATAAGAATTTGAAAATATTGAATTTTGATATTTTACAACTGATGATCTAGAAATAAATTAGTTGTTTGAAAGGTAATTAGCATGATATATTTATTTTATTTGTTATTATATTATTATTATTTTATTTATTTTTTACAAACTTCTTGTTTTGTTTGTCAAGGTCACAACGATAGTCTGGAAGAATTAGACCTGAGTTGGAATCACTTGCGTGGCAAAGGGGCAGCTGCAATAGGAAATGGTCTGAAGGTGAGTCAACGTTTTTCCTGTTATAAGCATTATAAACGTACGTATATATGGAATCGGGCGATGCCCGCGCTCCAGTCATGCAATGTTCCGTAACATAATTCAACCCCCTGCATCGATACAAAATATGATATTAATTAAAGAGAGAATCAGATATAGCGAGCAGGCTAAGCAAAAAATTGTTTCAATTTCAGAATATTTTTGCTCGTGTCATTCCTTGTCATGTCTATTTTCTAAAAACCACAAAAGTGCAATTTTATTCCAAGAAAATTAAAGATTTTTACAATAATGTATTATTTTTCTATAAGAATGGTTACCATTCATATTTGGGAGAATTTAAACATTTTTCACTCATTTTTGCACTTTGAATCATTAATAACTTCACCAATTTATAACATGTTGTGAATCTTTTGGGAGATATTGTATTTGATATTGTAAGAAATAGATTGGTTGGTCAATTATACATGTTGCTTGTAATTTTGTCACCCCTTATTGATCAGATTCTGCCTTTAACATCTTTGTCAGACCAACAAAAGAGTAAGTGCCCGTAGCAAGGATTTGCCAAGGGATTTTAAATTTTTTTTAGGGGGTTCACTTTTGACAGCTTTGCCCCGAAAATGACCAAAATCACTTTAAAAGTGCTCAGAATAGTGAAAAAACTACATGATTTTAAAACTTCGGAACCTTTGTCCAGGGGGGACCCCGAACCCCCTCCCATCCCTCCCCCGGTTACGGGCCTGTATTATTAACATGTTCATACCATCGTGTCATACATAATACATCTTTTTCAGACCAACAAAAGTGTAACAAGTTTGTCACTTGGTTACAATGGGTTTGGGAATGAGGGTTCGACTGCAATATCACATGCACTAAAAGAGAACAAAACGTTAACCGAGTTGGATTTAACAAACAATAGAATACATCCACCGGCAGCGTTCGTCCTCTTTGAAGGGTTAATAAGGAACTCAAAATTAGAAGTTTTAAATGTAAGTTATATTGATGCATCCAATGTAGGCATGTTAAAGGCAAGAGAGAATGTCTTAAGTAAATGACTAATTGATATCAACGCCTTCAAATTCATCTGGAAAGTAATATTCTCAAAATATAGTTATTTGTAATTCAAGATTAATATACAAATACAATTTTAATTTACCATTATTTAAAATTGATAATTGAGTATCTGTTTCTTTTTCAAGCAGGTTTTTTAGATAGTTCAATAGCATTCAATTATTGTAATTATTACGTTATTTTAGTTATAAAATGAGAAACAAACGTATTCACAATTAAATAAGTGCCTCTAAGAACTTGAGCATTCCTAGCTGCTAGATTTGTTTCATTTCTATTTATTAACATGATATATATTTTATTTAGCTTTCAAGAAATCCTCTGACTCCTGTTACTACAACGTATGCTATATCTAAACTGAAGGAGTCCGGGGTATCACAACTAGCTCATCTCGATCTAAGTGTAAGTAACAATAAAGTTGGCAGCCCGCGTACCGTACACAAGTACATACATAACCATGTTCGAATTCAAGCAATAACAATATTGTCTCTCAAAATTTCATATTGATTTTTATTCGTAAAGTATTGCATATGGGCAGAGACATATGATAATATGTTCTATGCCAAGTAGAGTTTTAAGGAGATAAGTTGGTAAGATATATCCCGTAACCTGATTTTGAGGTTTCCATATCCAGAACCTCCATATCTCCCGCTTCGGTGCATATCTTCCCGCTTCCGGTAAGTAGTGGAAATGCAATAAAATGACTTTGCATATGAATGATTTGTTTATTTTTACACCTTGTACTATTGAAATGGCCCTATGCCCCTGAAAACTCTACTTGGTATAGGATAAAGCAGTTATGTACGGTCGGTTTGGATATTGGGTTCATCCCTCGTGAGATACATTGTCCCTACGGTCTCTCAGGTAGATATGCATGCATATCTCCCCATTTGATAAACCCCATACCCAAAAACTCCCAGTACATAACCCTTATTTATGTGTCTCTGATATGGGGTAATTCCTATCTCTAATATCAACCGATGCGTGATTTTTCACAATACTATCCTTTTCACATCCCATAATTTTACATGGCTTAAGTATTTCCTGTATTCATTTAGACAAATTAACAGTGTCAAGCTTGAAATTTTTGATTGTATAAATGCTTTTTCAGGGAATGGTGGTTAGCACTGAATTTGAAGAAACAGTTAAAGAAATCAAAGAATTAAGACAGTTCGAGGCGATATACGACTCTTCTATGCATCTCCGTGGTCAACTGGATGTTAATAGCTTTATGAAGAAAGGCAACAATAAAAACTCGAATTTGGGCTTTAAGTCTCCAACAAGGGTATTCAATGTCGAGCCTGCAAAGATCTTATATAGTCTGAAGGATAGAATGTCACGCTCGGTTGATTTCTTTAATAATTTGGACGCCGATGGAAGTCAGACAATATCAAGGGAGGAATTTAGAAAAGGGATGGAGGTAACTATATGAGGGTTATATTATGGAGGGTTTTGAAATGGGGTATATCCTGAGGGAAATATATCTTACCGAAGGTCAGGAAGGCGGCAGGAGGGTGAAAAGTAAGATATCATATTTCCTGAGGAATATACCCTACTTGTATAATGTGAGGTTTTAAGGACACCCATATCCAGGTTTGTTTTCTTAGTGTTCTCATTATTTTCGAGAAATCAATCAAGAAACTTCGTCTCGTTCCAATACAGAATTTCTAGAGCAGAATATAAGTATCCAGTATTGCACTTCAAATCATTCAATAACTTATAGTATATGTGGCACTTACCAAAGATATGAATTCTATATATCCCGCTGTTACATGTACCTGAAACCTCACTTGTAAAAGGATAAGTATACAAATATACATTAGCTGGAAGTCTGTAATACTTACTATCAAACCTATATCAATTGTATTTCAATAAATATAGTACAGAATAACAAAAGGAAAATATATGTCACTATCTAAATTCATTTTTGTTATGAGATACCTCTTATTTTTTATTTTGTGCCAGTGTCCTTGAGGATTTAGGTTAATAACTGTATTTCTGGGAACTAAGAAATAGAAGCCGAATTACTCAGATGCGAGTAGGTAGTTACCAGTTTCGCCACCAGGTGGCTGATTCGGGGGAATTAACATGGCAGGGTATTACAAAATTCCCTTAAACTTGAACATGCATGCGTTTTAATGGTTCACTTTTCATATTACCTTTATGTACATATCTGTTAGTTATACAAATTAAAATATGTCCAGTAAAAGAAAATATTATCTGCCCAACACAAGAAAAGATATTTCACTTTTTGTGGTTTTACAACATGGGCTCTATGGGGAATCTCCCCGACCTAGAAGTCACATTTTCAAAGAAAATTAAATTTTCAAAGTTGATAAACTTTGAAAATTACTTTACCGAAGATTACTTTACTGTCATAAAATCTCATAAAATTTGGTGTCTCATCTAGTTTGTCAGGTATTTCATGGATGACATTTTGGTTGAATTGGTCGTCTTTTATACGAATAATTTTCCTATAAATTGTCTGAACGTTTTCATGAAAAATATCAAAATTAGATAATTTTTGCATGAACCTATTGAACGACCTTATTCTCGTACCTCAACTTACTTATCCCACCACTAGTCTAGAAGAAAGCCAAGAGGGGGTTGTTTTGGAGTATATACAATGTTTTATTGCATAATATGTTGGTCTGATGTGTTCTGATGAAGATTTGACAAATATGCAGTAATGTTACCTTGAGCAATTTTTTCTGCAAGGTCAGCAGAATTCGTAATATTCCATAAGTAGGGATTTTAAAAATCTAGATTTAAGAACTTATATACTTGCTTTTACATGATTTCAGTGATTTCATGTCACATTTACATGATTAACTTTGAACTGAACCTAGAAACTGATAAAAAGTAAGGCCGTAATTAAGAGCTGAGTCAGGGGTAATGGTTATTTTTCTCATTTCAATTGATTTTAACATATATAATCAATTTACAACCATATATATGGCCCTCACAGTTAAGATTTTCTCTAAAACTTTTTAAAGGCATCATGTAGAATCTTCAAATTCTCATTAGCTGGAGCTAGAGATATAACAAATTGTATTACGAAAAATCAGCAGAATTGTATATAGGGTAATTAATTTTTTATTATGATGTAGTCATCAGCTCCAAGAGAAAAAACTTATTATATAAACCGAGAACCACTAATTCTACCACATTCAAACCAGACAAATATACAATCTTAAATCTTGTACGTTCAGAACAACCATGGGAAAATACTCTATAAGGAAGACAGGGTCAGACCTACCTGTGGAACACTTTACCTCATAAAATTACTCATTCTAATACTCTTTCCACCTTCAAAAAGAATTTAAAATTACACTTGCTCAACAATTAACATCATATTACTTAAGGAAAGAATCAGATCTAGCGAGCAGACTAACAAAAAATTGTTTCAATTTTAGAATAATTCTGGCTTATGTCATTCCTTTTCGTGTCTTTTTTAGGAAAACTAAAGATTTTTACAATAATGTATTATTTTTCTATAAGAATGGTGACCATTCTTATTACTTGGGAGAATTTAAACATTTTACACCCATTTTTATGTCACCACCAAAAGTGGTGACATATTGTTATGGTCTCCGTTTTTTTGCGACGGCGGTTGGTGGTTGGCGTCCGGCGGTTGGAGGTTGGTGTCTGTAACAATTTCTTACAACTTCCTATAACTTAACAAATACTGTTTAGACTGACTTCAATTTTTTTCTAAATCATCTACATGTTCTCAGAAGTTCAAATCTGACTTTAGATTTGACATTTGACCTTCAATGACCTTCTCAAGGTCAAAAAGGTCTTTTTTCAACTTGCTTCACATTGACTAAATTTTTTTTCAAAATCATCTACATGTTCTCAGAAATTCAAATCTGACTTTAGATTTGACTTTAGATTTGACATTTGACCTTCAAATCTGACTTTAGATTTGACATTTAACCTTCAATGACCTTCTCAAGGTCAAAAAAGGTCAAAAAGGTCTGTTTTCAACTTGCTTCAAATTGACTAAAAAAAAATTCAAAATCATCTACGTGTTCTCAGAAATTCAAATCTGACTTTAGATTTGACTTAAGATTTGACATTTGACCTTCAATGACCTTCTCAAAGTCAAAAAAGGTCAAAAAGGTATTTTTTCAACTTGCTTCAAATTGACTAAATTTTTTTTTCAAAATCATCGACATCTTCTCAGAAATTCAAATCTGACTTTAGATTTGACATTTGACCTTCAATGACCTTCTCAATGTCAAAAAAGGTCAAAAAGGTATTTTTTCATCTTGCTTCAAATTGACTAAATTTTTTTTTCAAAATCATCTACATGTTCTCAGAAATTTAAATATGACTTTAGATTTGACTTTAGATTTGACATTTGACCTTCTCAAGGTCAAAAAAGTTCAAAAAGGTCTTTTTTCAACTTGCTTCAAATTGACTATTTTTTTTCAAAATCATCTACATGTTCTCAGAAATTCAAATCTGACTTTAGATTTGACATTTGACCTTTAATGACCTTCTCAAGGTCAAAAAAGGTCTGTTTTCAACTTGCTTCAAATTGACCAAATTTTTTTTTCAAAATCATCTACATCTTTTCAGAAGTTCAAATTTGACTTTACAAGTTCTCAGAAGTTCAAATCTGACTTTAGATTTGACCTTTGACCTTCAATGACCTTCTCAAGGTCAAAAAGGTCTTTTTTCAACTTGCTTCAAATTGACTAATTTTTTTTTCAAAATCATCTACATGTTCTCAGAAGTTCTTCTTAAGGTCAAAAGGTATTTTCCAACTTGCTTTAAATTGACCAAATTGTTTTAGGTGGTGACATTTTGTCATGTTAATGCCTTGTTTCACTTTGAATCTATTGTAACTTTACTGATTTATAACATATTGTGAATCTTTTGGGAGATTGTATTTGAGATTGTAAGGAATAGATTGGTAGGTCAATTGTACACGTTGCTTTTAATTTTGTCACCCCATAGATCTGATTCTGCCTTTAATAAAATTACACAATCTTAAATCATCATAGTTGTAAAAGTTATTACACCATATAGTAAAAGTAGATAATTGAATGAACATCCTAGCTTTACTAATAAAGACTCTATAAGTGGCATCCTCGATCACGGGGCTTCAAAATCCAGAATATATTCTTTCTTTTTACCCCTGCGATAAGCAGTTAGCATTTCCCCGATTAAGAACTCGCAATCTGATTGGCTGTCGCAACAGAAATCATGTATAAGTCATGCGCATAATAATTAGATCATGTGATTCAGTTTAATCGGGCACTCCCAAATTGGTTATAGCAGGGGGAAGAAGGAGGTACGGATTCTGTACACCTGCTTAGGAGGATGATAAGTGGGGGGGGGGGAGAGTGTGTGGGATATGGCATCTGTCAGGTGCATTGTTCTACTTGCATGTAGTAGAAATGAAGGCATTAGCAACTGAATGCATGAATCCTACCAGTATGCGCTAAATGGTCAAGGAAGATTGACTCCCAGAGTGCAACACCGATATTCTGTCCCATATATGGGCATGTGGTGATAAGTGCGAAACCCCCTGTCAAAAATTCTCAGAAGTTCATCAATTAAACTAGGTAAGATTTAGCCCATCATGAGAAATCATGGCCTTCATATTTCTCGTTGAAGGCAGAAATATGTGATGAGTATCAGAATGGATTTAACCATTTACTGTGTTCATGTAGACCTATGCAGCATAGTAGTCCCATTCAAATCTAAAACAACAGCGGTATGACTAGGAGCAAAATCGTTTCATCAGAATATCAACACATAGTATTTTCCCATTTAATTTGATTCTTGATAATAGTTTTTTTTTCTGAAAAGTTACTAATTCACAATGAAGCAACGATGGATCTTTTAGAATCAATATTTTATAATGAAGTGTATTTTTAGAATTTAAATCCTAAATGAAATAGGATTAGTGTCAGAATGAAATAGATTACATTACAATTTAATAAATGAGAAAAGCAGAAACGGTATACTCTTTTATGATCAATGAGTTTTGGCTCATATGGACAAACTAGTGACAAAAATTAATGCCAACTTTACATTTAAAGATAATCTTGCAACATTAACAAGACAAAATGCAACACAGGTTATCGCAAATAAATGAATAGATAGAATTCAACCATTTATGGTGTTCATATGTAGCGTATTAGTCCTGTTCGTATCTATAACAAGAGCAGGGTGTCTAGGAGCAAAATTATTTCTTCAGAATATTACAGTAATACTAATCGGCCATTTAATTCAAGTCTGAATGATAGTTTTTTTCTGAAAAGATACGAATTCACAATGACGGAACGGGTATCTTTTGAAATCAATATCCTATAATGAAGTGTATTTTTAAAATTAAAATTTTAAACAAAATAAGATTAGTGTCAGAATGAACTGGATTACATATTACAGTTAAAAAAAGAAATGAAAGAACATTAAATAATTTTAGTTGAATAAAGTAAAATATAAGATTTTATGAGCGAAGTTGTTTTAATACTGAATGTGTAATTTCAACTGTATCTGCTATTACATGTTAAAGGTTATTGTTTTGGAAATATTTTGAAGTTATGAAATACTTGAATATGTTTAGGTTCAGTTATAGCAGGTGACAATAGATTAATAATACTACCTTTTGAAGTAAGAGTAAAACATAAGCTTACATTCGTGAATGCAACTAACAGCTAGCGACTGGGTACTATTCATATTTAAATGAGTTGCCCAGAAAATAGTAGGTTTATCCTGTAGCCGACGGCGTTAGTTGCATTCGCGAATACAAGCTAAGACTGATATCATATTTAGTGTATTATATTGCACAAATAATCAAATTGAGTCAATGTTTATAATTAAAGTTTATATGTTAATTAGTAAGCAATTAATATGCATAATTTAAAAACACAGTTGTTATACACTTCTTTTACCCCTATACCACGGTGGGGATTGTCATCACGTGACCTTCGTAATTGATGGTGTCTGAACAAGTCGTACGATTTTCTCGATTAAGCCAGAAAAATGAATATTTTTCATATTTATACATTGTTAACAGCGTCAAATTTCTCCCCACTTATGAATTCTATCTCAGTCTTTCAAATGAACCTAAATTGACAAGCAGAGGACGCATATTATTTGAGATATGACTGTTTTTCGTTTCGAAAAATGATGGTGTCTGAACATCTCTAAAATTCTGTATGATGGTGTCTGTACAAATTTTTTAAATACACGACATGGATACCAGTTTCCATGTTTTCATGTGTAATTGTTTATTATATACTATGCATTCATGTACTCTCGTATATTTAAGGCTTTGTATAAAAACCTAGTACCTCGTACCCACGTCCCGACCCACGTACGTGGGGCATGATACAGTCTTTGAAGGGTTTGATTTTTAAAATATAAGATCATTCAATCTTCGTCTATGCTGAATTGTAAATGCATTAGTGTACGTCGAAAAAAGACGAACGCATTCCGTTCGGACTTTTCACGCGAGTTCCGTATGTCACGCATTTGCTTTGAAATGTGTATATGTCAAGTATTTTCTTCGAAATATTTTGTACTATTTTGGATATTGACTATACTCGTGCTACAAATGTACAAAGTGGATTAAGAATATAACTATACAATAGCATAATAACTCAAGGGAAATTGGTAACCTGCCTAGAATGTCAAGATAAGGCTGTCCCAAGGTTAAGAAGGAGCATTATACCCAGCTCATTTGAAAGAATAATTAACTTAACATCAGGATATTATCAAGTCGATACTGAACAAATATTTCACTCTATTGAGGTGAATACCTGTACATCTTTCACAAGTGATATTCCACAAAGCCCGAAGGGCAAGTGGAATATCACCTTGTGAAAGTGCTACAGGTATTCACCTCAATAGAGTGAAATATTTGTTCATTATTATATCACTGTCTAGCTAAACATCCCTAATATTGTTAAGTCATAGGTTAACATTGAAATACATATATTTCAAATTTAATCTTCTCGGTTCGTCTGCCATTTTGACTTGCACTGAACTAAATTATTTACACTGAACGAAAACAAATTCTTTGAAAATTCCCGGGAGCGTGTGATATCGCTAGATATCTCACGGTTGTCTTATCTGATTAGCATTGCCATTGAATATCGCCAGATATACCACGACATGTGACCCGGTTTTGACCAATCATACTGTCGCTAGCTAGATAGTGATATAATAAATGCTGATATCCATATGCTAAGTCAATGGAACCAAATAAAATAATAAAACAAAAAAATGAAATGAAAATCAAAGGTTAAGGTCAAAATTGTCCTTTGCAACATTCTTTATCATAATTTCACATTTTAAATTTTGTAAACGATGATTTTGCACACAAGAATCTTTTATTATCAGATATGCACTGACTTGACCTTTACAAGGTCACTATGGCCTCAATAACACTTAGGATGGACCTGAACAGTATGCCATAATTAACACCTTACTAAATACCGTATGTCATAATGGTCATGAATGACCTGGGGGCAGTTTTATATACTATACTTAGTATGACGGATCCTTTTCTATTAATGCTCGTTCACTAGAAGCAATATTCACTAAAATTGTCACGTTTTTCATTTGCTGGGGACTTCTAGGTAGTCGTCTTTAAGGTGTGACTATATTGCCATATTTAGGTTGCATTACAACCTTGTCTTTATGGGTGTACTACTCTTCCCGTCATCCAATTCGGAATCACCATCCACAATTGAGCAAACAATTACACTTTCGTGTGTTGGGATGAATTTACGATCCCCGAGACTAAAATCATCGTTCCCCTTTTTGTGATTAAACAAACTGAAGTACAGAATTCCATTTAGCAAATCCCCGACATATTAAAACCTAATCTAGCGTAGATTTTCCCTTTTGGACGAGCCTTTGAGCCTTTGGCGCTATTTGTAAAAAAAATGATCGGATAATCCTTTAAAGCTTTAAAAATTGAACCCTCCAAAGACTGTATCACGACTCACGTAAGTGGGTACGTGGGCATAAGGTACAGTTTTTTTTATACAAAGCCTATATTTAATAAGTTATTATACAGTGTAGAAGCTAGACCCTATTAATGTTACATAATTTTGCAGAGACTTTAATGAGGACAATGACATCACGAACAAATCCTGTATTTTGATTGGTCAGATTTCTCTGGCCTCTCAAAAGGTGACTGGCTTTACTGAATAATCATCTTCGTTCACTCGGCTCCCGTCGGAACGCAGTGAAGACCGAGCGTGCGAAGATGAGGAATAATACCATCCCTGGGCAGTCTAAATTGATGGATTCATTTTATATTGTTTTATTCAAGTACATCAAGTAAACGTTTGTAATATTGGATAAATAACGTCTGATCAAATAACTTAATCGCCCAGTTTCTGGTGACAATACACGATGTATCTAAATTCCTCTGATGGATGTTGTCCAACACATGATTTGCAAATCGTTCACTGAATGTTGGGAATTCAACCAATGGATGGCAGTGATAACAGGCAAACATCACAATTCTAGGTTGATTTCGGTTTAACACATTGGAAAGAAGCAGATGTATTTAAAAAACACACGAAAACACGAGGACTACTTTCCAAGTAGTGTATTTTAAAATGTGCACAGACACCATCATGCAGAATTTAAGAGTTGTTCAGACACCATCATATTTCGAAATAAAAAACAGTGATATCTCAAAAAATATGCGTTCTCTGCTTGTAAATTTAGGTTCATTTGAAATACTGAGATAGTATGCACAAGTGGGGCGGGATTTGAAGCATTTAACAAAGTATAAATATGAAAATTATTCGTTTTTCTTGCTTAATCGAGAAAATCTTACGCCTTGTTCAGACACCATCAGTTGCGAAGGTCACGTGATGACAATCCCTACCGTGTATACTCATAATTGAAATATTAGATCGTATTTATTCTACTCTAATTTAGGGTAATGTTAATAATTCAAGTGAAATTAACTCCACTTGGAACACATTTATAGTCTTAGCTTAACAATGATACCAAATCTCTGTTCTACAAAAGGTGAACCCATTATAAAGATCAGACAATCGTTACTGCACTTAGTTTACATTGTTCCGGTAGTGTTGATTTAATGACTTAATTTGCATAATTACTGTATTTTTCAGAGAAAGAATGTTCACGGGTAGATAAGTATATTGCAAGTCATAAATTAAACAAAAATAAGCGATAAGGGATGTTTAACTCCATTTAAATACATGAATACTACCAAATGTGCCACACTCCCTTTCAGAAATATTACATAATATTAAAAAGACAATAGAAAAAAATGCTCAACCTACCACAACTGCATATTTGTGACTTTTTGACCAGGACACGTCTAACTATCAGAAAATGCAATAAAACATTGTATATACTCCAAAACAAGGTTCAGTGATAAATCCTTTGTTTTCATCTAGACTACACTACTAAACCACAATTGTTGCAAGAGATTGTGAGTTTTTATCCAATGCCATTCACAAGTATTTTCGGATTGAAGCGTGGTTAATACAAATGATTTAGCCTTGCACATTTTTATATACATATTTTTTCAATTCGTGAAAATTGTTTTAAATATTCGTATAAATGTTTGTTATCATATAAACAAACCAGAATAATTATATTTTTATTACATCAAAGAATGATTTTAGGTATAGATTTAATGTTATATTGCCTTATAAATAACATATATTTCATTTTTAGAGAATGAATTTTAACATGAGCAAAAGTGCGCTTGACGAGTTGATCGACTATCTGGACGCTGATGGAGATGGCGAAATAGATATACTGTAAGCACTATTTTATTTCAAGATTATCAGTTTTAGCAATGTATTATTTATCTTAATTGTTTTCTCAAATTAGTAATAATCCTATTTTTATTTAAATTTCTTGCTTTTGGTATAGTCAATGCTAGATGAGATTAAAACTTTGATGTTCCAATTATATTTCAAATAGAATACATATTTCAGAGAATTCATCGAAGGAGAAAGAAGAATGAAAAGAATACAAGCTTTAAACAAAGAGAAGCAAAGGAAAAAAGAGGCACTGAAACTCCCAACTATTTCGGGTAAACAAACTCCAAATCAGACACCGTCTCTCACTCAATTGAAAGAAAATCTCCAAGATACTGCTGAAAATGGTGAACGAGAAGAGGCTCCACCAGTCTTCAAGAGAAAAATGTCAATGAAAGAATTTTACAATTTTGGAACAAAATATGAACCATTACCTCAGCTTCCTGGGCGGAATCTTACATCACGTGATCAAACACGTGGGGTGTCACGTGGTTCAAATACTGGAGCCAGTAAGCCAGCCTCAAGGATTGGAAAACGATCCTTAATACGGGAATAGATCATGGGCAATTGGGATGAATAATAATATTTGATGTGTAATATTTAGTTGTCATTTGACACTTATACATGTACAGAGTGAGCCAAAAAAGTAGCCCAAACAAATGTATATTTGTCACTCAGTCTTTCCTAATGGGAAATCATATTTTGCACAATGAATTAGAAACCTCGAAACCTCGTATCTTGGAGATTTTATATGAACAAAGAATGTTCTTTCATTCTACTAAGTTTCTTTGGTTTAGCCCCAATGGTAACACTTTTATGGTCATTTACAAAACATGCTCCAAATGCCGGTGTAAAAGGTTAGGAGGTCCTATCAATTTATGGTCCTACTCTCCATTGATTTATATTGTGACCTCTTTCCCTTATTATCGTATACTCAATCAGGGCCAGTAAGGGCCGTTAAGAAGGGGGACCATAATTTCTTTCACACCGGAACAGGCCACAATTACCGGACATGATCACTCCAGATTGTTTTCTATGGAGCTAATGTCTACACTGGCAAGTTAACCATATGCATTGAAACAAGAGAAGAAAATATATGAGCTATCAAACAATATGTATGTGCTCGTGTAGTGAACAACTACGCGCCCGAACGTTCAAGTTTGCTTCCAGACTCGACACCGTCATTTTATAGCATGGTTAAAAACCAATGAAACTTTGTAGAATGAAAAAACGTTTGACAGGATTTAATTTTGATGAATATGACCCATGCTCAATGACAGGGTTATTAAGATCTGTTTGGATTAACTTTTTTTACTCACCCTGTATAATCCGTTTATGCTTACTGGTAAGAGTACGACTTATGAGACTAATACAACTGGATAAAACTATATGTAGCTATAGGGGAAGGGGAAATATTGTATCTATAGGCTATATAAATGTAAACATATATATTTTGTGATATAATGCTAGATGAAATAAAATTCCAAATATGTACTATAGTATTATGTTATTTTCATTTAAAAAAATAGAGGGAATTTGGAGATAAATTCAATTGTCACGTTGGGCAAATAAACCTTCTACTGGCGAATTAAATTGAACACATGTTTTTTTATTTACTTACACATCGTCAATTTAATGATAAAAACGCTTGTTTTCTCCTCATGTGGTTAAAATACGACCTTTTTTAACCACATTTTTACCAATCAACATATGTTTAAGTGTGGTTGGGGTTACCTGTTTTGACACTCATAAAAGTGTGGCCCCCGCTGGTATTTCTTCCACGATTCCAAGAAATATCCCCCCATAGTTTCTCCTCATAATAAGAAAGTGTGGTTAAGGTGTTCCTGAAACTATGGAGGAGCAGGACATTAACTTTAATATGATTTAAGGTTACCATATTGTTAATAGGGGTTAAAAGGGTTAATGCTTGTTAAATATATTTTGGGTTTTACTGTACAGTACATGATAAATCGGTTATACCTGTTATTCTGGTATCTAAACTGTTTTATGCATCTTCAATCAAATATTACATTACGAATGTGGCAACTATGAGAATGTTTTATGATTGAAGCATAGGGAGATGGGTTAATATGATCACATATACATTTTATACTCTGACTGAGGTTAAACAGTTTAATCTTTACAAAATATTTCAGTAAAATGGCATACGGGTTAGAGTCAAAATGAATGCGGGAATGAATGATGCTTGACTTTTTTATTTACGAAGATCAGAAGTTTGCATTAATATAAAACAGAGTATTTTAAATTAGTTATTCTAAAGGGAAGCTTATTTTGACTGAACTGACTAATCTTATTATAAGACTAATTAAAGAATAACAGGATGTGTCTGCTGTACAAATACATGTAATCAATATGTTAAAATAATAGTCCAGTACCTGTAGTTAGTGAATTTATTTGAATTATATCAATGTTTATTTTAATAATAAGATTATAATTCTAATCAAGAGTCTAAATCTAATAATTAAATAAGAAAAGCATGTTGCTGATATGTTTATAAAAATAATAGTTCAATAAGTCAGTTAACTTGTTATTACACATTCCAGAATGTGCTTTGTGGACAAATTGAGTCCTAAATACATGACATGTATCTTTTCAAAAACCCTAAATTCATGCGAATGAGGAAACCTAAATGTAGCAATGTGATTTTTATTTAACTTTAATCTCAGTACAAATGACATATTTTGTACTTAATCACCCTTAAAGCTACAGTTATATGGACAGGTTATTAAAAGAAGTTTTAGTGAAAACTGTGAGATTTTGAAAAACACATCTTAAGTTGTTACCAAAGGTTGATAGTAGGTTGTTCTATAGCAACAACCCAAGTTGATGCATTCTGTGGGAGATATTTATATTCATAATCATGTGATCTTTTTTCGTGAAGCGTATTTTTCTTTGCTTTATAGTAAACATTTGTAATGTACATTATTGTGCTTGAAGACCATATTTCAGATTTGTAAGAAGGTTAACTGATAATTCAATCCATCTACAGAGCTTTAAATGATACTTTTCTGTATCTATCTAAATGGCAAGTTCTGATTGCCTCTGTATGTTCAGTTCAGGCTCGTCACTTCAATGTGTCCCTTTTTCAGTATGATTAATAATTATTTGATAATAATTAATCATTTGATTAATAATTATAAGTTTAATGATGGATCTTGGATGCTAATTTTCATTTAATCTATATCTTAGCTAGATCTGAGTAAACTCATTTTGTCCTAGCTGTGGAATTGAACATTGTTGTTATAACTTATATAAACATTTATGGGTTTGTTGACTTAAAAAACAAACTTTTCCCACAATTTTAGACCACACTTTTTATTCATATTATGTATCACCCATACCTGTGCTGCGTTTATACCACCTCCAAACCACACTCATACCACACCCGACTCGACCCTTTGAATCTTAGGGTCAGTGGTTTTTATATATAATGGAAATCTTTTAATTTAATTTAGTGTTTACACTGCTTAAATTGTTAGATTTCTCATAATAGAACAACCCACCCTACTTTGGCAATATACTCAATCTTAACCTTGGTATGAATAGCAAATACTCATTTTATTTACTGTTATTAATCTCCAGTGACAACACTTTTTATATATTTTACAAAGTTTATTGCAGAATTGTCATTGGTCACAGTCAGGTGAAAGGTGCCAAGCAGCCTTCAATGAACGGTGAATAGTCATATTCAAACATCATCCTCTTTGATAGTGAATAAAAATTGAGGTTGATTTTGATTGTTTCCCAGATATTGTCTTATATTTAGACATTTAGTTTGGTATTGGGTCCCTATTGACATTTGATATGGCTTTGTGGTGTTATTTACATGTAACTGCCAATAATATTGTACAAATTAATTGGTAGGGGAGCATATTGAAATATGATTGATTGGTATTGTCAACAGTTCACTTTCATAGGTCACCAGTTTCCACAAATCGAGGCGTTTCACCGAAATATCCTGTAGAGATTAAACTCTGGAATAATCAAAGATTAAAATATACACCAATAAATTAATAATAATTGGGACAAATAATTCATGCTTCAATCATACAACATTCCCATTTGTATCACATATGTTTAATAATATATTTGTTTGATGATGAAAAAGATGCATGAAACAATTGTTAGATACACGAATAACAGGTACAACAGACTTATCATGTACAGTAAATCCCAAAATATATTTAACAAGCATTAACCCTTTTAACCCCTATTAACAATATGGTAACCTTAAATCATATTAAAGTTAAAGTCCTGCTCCCCCATAGTTTCAGGAACACCTTAACAACACTTTCTCATTATTAGGAGAGACTATGGGGAGATATTTCTTGGAATTGTGGAAGAAATACCAGCGATATTACCCCTGCTCTTCGGTCTATGTTTTTTAAATAAAACTTGAAATATTAAAACAAATTCTATTTTTTCTCATTTCCAGAACGAACTACTTTAAACAAGCAAGAATTGCCTATATTTGCTGTTTGGGAAGAAACATTTACGAATAATATTGCAAGAAATATAAGAAAAAGAGCAATAGAATACATTCTGTTTCTTCAAAACCCACATTCTAATAACTATAGTATAAACAATTCAAGTTATTGAACTGTATCTATGCTATTGAAGTATCATGATTGCCAGGTGAATAAATAAAAATATGCATTAATTTGTTCTTTCACCATTCCACGCTATTGTAAGATCTGTCTAAGCACCAAGGATATTCTAGAGCGGGTTCCTACAGTTAGCTGCATTGTTCTCTTCTGAGTTTTACTTTTATTTTTAGGGGTTGAATGTCCCCATCCTATTCTCTTTTAGGAGTTGAATTTCTCCATCTTAGCTTGTTATCTAATATTTGTTAGGAATGGAAGTTACACTGGAGTATACTTTTAGATGACTGTAGTTTCGTTATCTTTACAGCTCTATAGAATGGCGGAAAGGGGTACGATTTACTTTCTTCTTCAGTTTGGTAATTTCGGCAATTCTTGCTTGTTCAGTTGCTTTGTTACGATATTCAAAGTTCTGTTGTGTGAAGGGTATTTTCTTTGAAGGTATTTGGCATATCGCTCAATAATAGAAATTATATGTCACTCTATACGTCCACAAGTGTGATGATCTTATAGATCGTCGTCTATACGTAAGAATATCAAACGTATGGACGTAAAGAGCTGCGTAATAAATGATGACGTAATCAAACGTTTCATAAGTTAAACGTGCGAAGGAGGTATTCAGTAATACAGATTTTACTGTACCTTTAAATTATTAATTACCCGGTTTCAATGTTTCCATTTTTGTGTCCAAGGGGGTAAAGATACGGGAATGATAAGCATGCTTTGAGTGAGTTGCGAAATCTCTCTACTATCAAACCCATATCTATCTAATATCAAACCCATTTACCGAAAAGTACCGACATTATGTGAACGTTATACTAGAAATTTTAAATCAATGCATGTACCTGGTGGCAGGAATACTCGCGGAAAATGGGGATAGAGAGGGAATTTACAATTTTTACTCGATAGAATATTGACCAAGCGACAGAGAGCAAACTGCAAACATTCTCCGTAAAAGTCTCCATTATGAAAACGTGAAACCACAGTCGTCGTAACGGTAAGCTTACCCCCACTATGAATGGGGGTTAAAATATAAATCAATATTCATAGCAGTAATAAATGAAGAATGCAGTTCACCACTATGATGCCTAGAGTCAACGTGTTATTGGGAGCTTCACTACTTTTTATTGTAGCCGAGATATGCCTATTAAGTTACAAGGCATATCATTATGATACCGATATACTTAAATTGTCAAAACTGAGGCGATACTACCAGCAACATGGAAACAAGACAAGGATTAAAATACAAGAAATGCAAGAAAGAAAAAACCTCATGCAGGAAAAATGTCGAAAACACACTCGATTTTATCGGGATTTAACTAGGCATCAGGACGCATTGTATAGTAACTTGTATATCAATAAAAAATATAAATTTCTACTTTGCCCTAATGCCAAAGTTGGAAGCACATTTTTGAAGACAATTCTTAAAACATTGCTCAATAACGTAACTGAGAAAAATCCCTTTAAAACCTACGCTCACAAATTAATCGGAAGTGTACATGGCGAAAAATTTCCAACGCTAAAGGATTTTAACGAAACTGAGCAAGATGAAATTCTGAGAACATATACAAAGGTAACATTTGTCAGAGATCCTCTTAGCAGACTTTTTTCAGCATATGAAAATAAATTTGTCACAATAAATGCTCCCTATTGGTTAAAAGTTGGCCGGTATTTAGTCAATAGATTTCGTGAAAACCCAAGCAATAAATCCAAGGCCTGTGGCTATGATGTTGCATTTGCCGAGTTCCTAAGTTTCGTTATATCAAGTTCTGAAAAACATTTAGAAACTGTCATGGATCCTCATTGGAAGCCATTTGATGTCAGGTGTGATCCGTGTCTGATCAAATACGACATCATAGGGAAAATGGAGACATTCCATGACGATATTCAGCACGTACTGCGTACTATTGGTGCAGAAGATAAAATACGACTTCCTACGGCCGATACCCCTAGCTTGGAACTACGAAAAGCTACAATGAATCGTGAGATCGAGTGGTCATTTTCTCAGTTTCCAAAATTGAAAGTCTGTATGTCTAAAAATGAATACATTGTAAGAATTGTACAAAACTTTATCAGCCATGGGTATATCGAACCGTTAGACGCCAACTCAATTCATGATTTGTTAGAAATACCATATGGACCAAATATTGCATCAAATTTGACTCAGTTGATTTTTAATCGTATGGATAAAAGTAACTTGACTAATTTACTATACCTTCCGTTAAAAACACAAAAAGCTGGGTATGCTAATCTGCCGAAAGACATGTTATACAGACTAAAATCGGTCTATCAGAATGACCTTGTATTGTTTGATTATGATTAGTGACACAGAAAAGTAAACTCATAAATATGTATAGTTATTGATAAATAATAAATACACATCATACACATTGCTAAATAAATTGTAGAAAATATACAGTCAGTCTTACTCATACTATACAAAATGATGCAATAAAAATATTGGCCAAATGTATCAGCTGCTGGCAATATTTCATAACTTAAAGGATATATTGGCTATTGTGTTCTGTTTTCTACAGCACACATTATATTACTTGTCCAGAGATGAAGAATATCCTAAAGTTATAGGCCGATATCTGTATTAGTGTCAGAAATATTGCAATAATAGGAAAAATATGTAAATTTTGTGATTTTTACGTTTCATAAACTAATTCAAGCTTTTTTGATAGTGTCATACAACTATAATAATGATAATATACGATTTACAATTTTTAATAGTACCCTACCCCTGGAAAGTGGGCGTGGTAAATGTTATCATTTTGCAGCATACAGTTAAAAACGTGTATCGTTAGAAAGCAAATCAATGATTAAAAACATCTTCACTTGTTACTTGACATTGTAATTCATTTATTATTAGAATATAGGACTCTACACGGTTTCAATGCAGTACAATGTACCATAATGAAATCTATTATATAGGGTTTTCATTTCACGAACTTTTTCTCGGATCATCCTTACCTTTTGACAAAATGATCTACGATTTGACCAATGCCAACAACAAAATTCAGCCCAATTGGTCAATGTTTAGACCCCCCCCCCCCCCCACCGCGATGTTTGCTTTGTATGGGGTCGGCCACAATGCAAAAAGTCCACTTTCAGTGCTTACTAGCACATGAAGTATGAGTGACAATGTTTCCATTGATTCCATTGATTCCAATGAGATGGTACCACCAAGAATACATATTTAAGCAGATTCAAGGTCATAGTACAAATACTTACCGATCTATCGGCGTTCAAAAAAGGGAAAGCTGTCGTGAGTGCCATTTTAACTAACTTTGAATTTAAACTGCTACTTTATGATTTTTTTTTCATTGACCACACCCACTTTCCAGGGGTAGGGAAATAGTAATTATCATTATTATACAGGGTGTCCCGAAAGTATGGGCACGCCGGCCCATAGGCAGACATATTCTAATGTCTCCATAGTATGTGTCATATATCATCCTAAACCTCATCCAAAGTTAGATTGATTTGCCAAGCATCATGCTTCATCTTACAAATGGGAAAATTTAGTTCAAAATTTAGTGTTAGGCCAAAATTAAAGTCAGTTTTACACCAAAATAATAGTCGATGTGTCTCCATAGGCCATAGCAGCAGCAATATTTTCCATACATGGCCTTAAACTCGCTATAAATAGGGATGTGGTATTATGTAATCCCCATAAAACCTTTTAAGGCATTTTAGAAGAGTTTTCTTGAAGTATCTACCATCAACGTCCTTTTTTAGAACTCAATATCCATCCTATCGTCGACAATTGAACCCATATTTTCGGTCACATTCAGTTCAGGGCTGTTTCCAGGATACTGATATATTAAACTCTCTTTTAAGAAGTGAAGTCAAACGAATGCAAAGGGTAACGGGGAATGTGATTTAGAATTTTGAATCGATTCAAAATTCGATGGCGACCATACCGTTCTGTAATCAGGTCATGATGACCTTCTAGACTAAGGGACGCGTTATACGACGTTGCACACCGACGTGGTGCGACCTGAACGAACTGCGAATGAGATGGACGTATTGAAGACTGTTCATGAACGAAGTAGCTATTAGTAATTATTTTAGACATATTTCCCGACCACAGGCAGAATGAGCCCGTTTTACGACGTTTTCGTAGGACTGGCAAGAACGGGTAAGAACTAGTTTGGTGTGATAGGGGGGGGGGTAAAAAAACTGGTATCCGGAACAGATTTTGTTCGTTTTGCCATCCCTTTCCACTTTGACAAATGCCAGTATATGTGGAACTAAGTGGCAAAAATGTTATTCAGACCTTTTCTTCATAAATTGAACAGCATCATTCATTTGCATTTTGTGAATAAATACTTCTCAGTTCAGCAAAATCTAGGTTTATGTTTACAAAGACAATAAAATTTACAATTGCTAAATAAATAGGCGCACGGCATCTTAAAATATGTTAGGTCTTCTAGGTTTTTTTGAACCGATACGCTTCTAAGATATGAGATCTATTTAAATCAGGCAACAATGGTCTACACGACCTGAAATAAATATCGCTTTTTTAAATAAGTTTCCATACGTTATAAATAAAATAATTGGAAATAATTAGAATTGAATGGAGGGGGAGTAAATGAAGGTGGGTGTAATGTGTCTATAAGACTTGCTAAGAGATGTTACTTGTAACTCGTATCGAAAGTGAAAGTTTTTAAACTTACCAGGTTTTGGAAAATCAAGGATTGTGAGCCTCAAACCGCATCCTTTTTTCAAACTTTTACCATACAAAGCAAAACAAAAATATGCCTTTCTGTCGGTACATTGCTTTATTGTACAGGGTCTCTCGTTTTAGCGACGTTAGGTCCCCAGCTGCTAGATCACGGAAGTTTTCAAAGATTTTAACTAAAAGTCGAGTTATCTCACCAGTTGTTTTCTCATTTTCGCCCATATTTTTCCAAAGGAAGCCCATTACAATTCTCCATCGCTACGTCTGCATTTTTGGGCAATAAATGCAGCAGTTTCGAAATCACCCGCACATTGGTTCAAAATTGATCAATACGTCCCGTTGTCTTCCACTACGCCCCGGTGTCGAAATCGCTGTTCCCTCTTCAAAAGAGGAGACGCGAAAATCTTTCTTTATAAGGTCAAAATATTTCCCATGATGCAGTTCGCGGAGGAACAAATTTATACTTCCTTGTTTTCCCTCATAGGTTTAACATGGGGATTTTCACACCTATTTTTCAAACGATATATTCGTTCATATCCCCGTACGAGGGTACAGAAAAAATTATTAGAAACGATTGATCTCTTATTAATCTTAATATAACAGCTATTTTTTTCATTGTATTGATTCATAGCGTGGTGAAAACGATGATTGAAAAGTGAGAAAATATTCCGGAAGAGAAGGTCACATGATCAGTTGACTAGTCGCCATATTGGAAAAAAACAATTCCATTCGACTTTCAATACTTTCATGCCAATCTTACCGCACTACAAACTGCAACATCGATGCATCAACTGAATAAAAGTATTCATCTTCAAATTACATCATAGAGTTACGTTGAAAACCAACAAATAACTGAGCAGTAGACCAAAGAAGAAGCATCGCTATTATCTAGGTCACTCTGTTCAGTGGTTCGAAAGCAAAGCTATAGTACTCGTTTCCGAATTTTGTTGTTAATTGTACAATCTTTTATTGATTAAACTCGGTATAGTGACTATTAAAGCAATGACAAAGAAGAATACTTCCGATGTTGTCATTGTTTTATTTAGCGTGCGGGTGTAAAAACAAAATTGCGTAATTAGTTTGATTTAGAACTTTCGGGTCACGCAAATAGCTACGCGGAATGCATAGTGAGAAAATATTGACAAATCAATTTTTGTCCTTTTTGAGTGCTTTTTCAGTACATATTTGCGAACGTTCTGATTCAAAGAGCGAATCGCGAAAGGGAGAATTTATCAATGCCATAGACACGACGGTGCGTAGTGTGGAAGACGACGCGGGACGGGACAGGACGTATTGATCAATTTTTAAAAGATGTTAGGATGTTAAACTGCTACGTTTAATGCCAAAAAATGTAGACGCAGCAATAGAGGTTTGTAATAGGCGCCCAAAACGGAAATTATGGAAATTATGGAGACTCAGAAAGACACAATGCCCCCGACAATGCCCTTAGTTTTGTGATAATACGTCCCTTGTTAGTATTTATTACAGGTCATGTTGACCATTGTTGCCTGATTTATAGCAAAGATATTGACTTTTCAAGTTGGTGGTGGTGGGCCTTTTAATGGATCTCATATCTTAGAAGCGCATCGGTTCAAAAAAAATCCTTGAAGAAATAACATATTTTACCATACCATGCCGTGCGCCTAGCAATCAATTGTAAACTTTCTCTTGAAAAAGGAAATCTTCTTATTTTGTTGAATTTTCTTGCGATCTCGCCTACCCCCCCCCCCCCCATTTCATTCACCGGGCGTGATAAAACCCCTCACATATGAACGAGTCCGCTAAAAACCTAAAAACGCAGTCTTGGGAACGTAAACTTGCAAACCAAAGCACATCTTTGCGCTTGCTTTTTAAGCCGTCTAAATGCAACCATGCAACCATGTAGAACGTACATATACTGATGGGAACGAGTTTTACTCAAGTCCTATTTGCCAGTACACGCAAGTTGACGTCGGGGGAGGGGGGCTTTCGTTCAGAGGAGGCCTTGAGAATCACAATTTTAGTATAGCAGCCATGCATAAAAGCTCCTTGGTATATGCGTAGTAAATGTCATTGTTTTCATATTTGCTAATTTCATTTCAAATCAAAAGAGCTGAATCTGATTTATTTTGCAATGGTGGTGGTGAGACTTTACTTGACTGGTGAATGACATCTTTATTCGATTCATCGCACATTGAAACCCAAACAGCGTTTCCACTTCCTTCAATTAAACTCTGACGAGACGCCTTGTCTCTGTCTTGAGCATTTGTGAAAGACCGTTTGCTCTTCTTCATCTTGGCGATCATGACAATAGCAACAAGCCCTGCTATCGCGATAGGAGCAATCGTCAAACATATTATCATTTCGTTTCCTGGATCTGGAAAATCAGAAAATTAGGCTTATTGTTAACATATAAGCAACTTACAAACATGGTTATAGTTTAATTGAACGAGAAACAAATTAACGAATTATTTTTTAGAAAGCTATAGAGTTTGTTACCTAAACCATGTCCACTGTCCACTGGACCAAACGTAACACTGTCTTGTGATTCAGGATTGGCCGTTCCACCTGGTTTGTTAATATTCAATCGCAATGACTTATTGGATAGATAGTGGCCTGCGGTAGCATTAAATTCTGGATCAAGAAGACATTCCTCAAGCATGAAGTCCCATTGATAACCTTAAAAAATAATTTCCCACAACAAATGAATGAAAACATATACTCTGTAAAGAACGTCTTTCCAATTGATAAAAAAGACCAACAAACTTTGTTGAATGTACACAAACTACAAACATTTGAAGACAAGTGTATACATGTAGAGCATTAGTATAACAAAAACACAAACGCGAAATTTTACAAGTTCGTCTCCGCACACTTACTTAAGATCAGAAAATTGTCCAATATTAGTTCTTACATTCACTGCTGATCCGCTCAGTTACGCTGGTTACCTTTCGTCGGAAACTCGAAGGTGCGATTTTTCTGATTTTCCTTTTTCACGCATTGTAGGCAGAATTCCAACAACATTTTGACGGACGCATACCAAAAAAAGACCAAAGTGAGAAATAATCGACGATTGCGTTGTCTTCTGAACTATTTGTTCGCAAGCATGTACATTTTCTGAAATGTATGATACTGATACACGTTTGTGATAAAAAATGTTTTGGGAATCCTGCCTACAACGCCTAAAAAGGGGGAAAAAAGAAAAATCGTACCTTCGAGGTTCCGACATTTTTTTACCGAAACGAACTAGCGTAATCGAGTGGATCACCAGTGACATTAGTACAAAACATTAGTATTTTGTATCATTATATCTTAGAATAGCCTCGATACATCTCCACGTACGTCAATTTACTTGTAAATTCACAAAATACATGTCGTTTGAAAAATCGCAATTCGTCGTTAAGGACGTGACATCTTGAAATGAATTGTTGTAACGATTGTCAAAACACAACACACCTTCAATACACCCGCCACATTGTGTATCAGAATCATGAGAACAGACTCGTAAAAGCTCTCGTTTATTACCACAATCGGTACATGGGTAACACACCGCCCCTTTTATGAATTCATTCGTCCCAACACTTCGGCATTGTGTATCAGTGAATCCATAGCAATGCGAAGATATACACTCGCCATTTGCACAATGTGAACACGATTTACATTGTATGCGTCCGTCTGATGTTACCACTTTGTATTCTTTCCACATTTTGCATGTATTTTTCATTAACGTTGCTTTTTCGCATTTTACTGTATTCTAAAACAAAAAATAAAAAGTTAATGTGAAATAACTGTTCGTTTTCTATTAGCTATGTAGCCTTGTAAAGATTAGAGCCGATCAGGGATGTTTGTTTTGTTTGCATCCCTTTTAGCTGAACATTGCTTTAAACATTGGCTTCTGCTCACTGCCGGTGTAAAAGGGTAGGAGGTCCTATCAAATTATGGTCCTACTCTCCATTGATTTATATGGTGACCTAAATACAACTCTTTCCCTCATTATTTATACGCAATCAGGGCCAGTAAGGGCCATTAAGAAAGGGGACCATAATCCCTGGGGGATCATCATTTCTTTCACACCGGGTTGTTGCATTATGCACGTGAAAAGCTTCGTTGTGTATGCGCATTGCTCATCACAGTCATCAGCCCCCCACGACCTGCAACAAGATGCCTACCTAGCTATACTTCTTCGGTCAATATCAGTTGTTTTCCTTCCGAAAAAAACATAGAGGTAACTGTTTGATATTACATATTATAAATAATCAATCCGAAATATTAGAATAGTTAATATTTTTTCATAAATTATACAATTCATGGCATGCACTATGCATTCAGTTTCGTTTTAAACATGAAATCAATATAGTATCCACGTATACTCTACTCACCCCACATTCAAACACCATCACTGCTATGACTGCAGCCCATGCTGATAGCGGTCTGATGATAATCCGAATGGATGCACGTCCAGTAATGGAAATGACTACGTTATTTCGCATCTTTACGATTACATTTAGAATACTACATTACTTCCATGTTGCAGAGTAAAATCTATTTTACTCCTAAGCCTAGCTAGCAAAAACATACACAGTAAAACCTGTTTAATCGGAACGCCATTTGGGACCGGCCACATTGTTTAGAATGACAGGCGTTCACATTTCGAGTTTTTTTTAACATGGAAGTATTTGACAGATCAAAAGATGGGATCAAAAAAAATCATATTGAGAGATGTTAGGACTAATGATGTGTTCGAAATTCAGTTTTACTGTACTCAAATGAGTCATTGGGAAGTACTAGAGTTAATCAATATGATATATGTTATGTTGATAATGACGCTGATAGCATTTGTGAGTTAAAGCATATGGTACTTCGAATTTTAGTCAGGGGCGATCCTGGAAATCAAAAGGAGTCAAAACTTTCTGCGGTAAATCGTTTTTGATTTGGCCCCAATTTTTCGTGGCCCACATGAGGGAGGGGTGACATGACTAAGTCTTGAAAAAATAGACCGACACATAGACCTAATCTTAGATAACCACCCTATCCATTCCTAACCACCCACTCAGGGTAAAGGAAGAAGAAACATCAACCTGGACTTCAGCCTTGTCAAAGAGTAATTCCCCTCCAACACCTGGGATTCTTTACAAGTCAACATACTGGAGGATGAAAGTCACTGGACCCAAGGAATCGACTCATCTTTCTTAAACATGTGACACAGACAAGGCACAGATCAGACATTGTCATCATCTTTGATGACAACAAGGACAAGGACAAGAAAGAAGACCCTCTCAAACCAATAGGCAGCGTGGTCATCCAGCGATGGCTATCGCTGCATTGTAGAGAGCTGAGGCCCGGTGTAAAAGAAATTATGGTCCCCTGGGGATTATGGTCCCCTTTCCTTACGGCCCTTACTGGCCCTGACTGTGTATAAATAATAAGGAAAATAATTGTAATTAGGTCACCATATAAATCAATAGAGAGTAGGACCAAAATTTGATAAGACCACCTACCCTTTTACACCTGGTATATAGTCATGAATAAAAAATCTTATTCTTATACATGTAAGTATTCTATCAGTATAATATACATGTATACACCACGCATTACCAACTCAGTATGCACTAGGGTATTTTTTAAACATTTTTAACGTATTCCTGGGCCTCAGGTAGAGAGAGATGGCTGTATCACAGTATCAGTGAATGCAATTTGGTCACCCTGCTTCCTCATACGTCTGGGTTTGTCAGTGGTTTTAGAACGGGGCGAAACAAGATGGGAAAGGATGATTCTCGGTTTGGAGAACGAAGTTCATCACTCTAATTGAGCGTTTTCCCTGCTTCTGACCAATTTGATTTTTTTACATAATATAGATTTGAATGTCTTCTTTTGAATAGTCCTAAATTAATTTGGGTAATATTTCTAGATTTCCCATCAAAAAATTACTAGTGAACCACCCAACGTCGCTTTTATGATTCGTACCACTTTTTTAACTTGATGTATTGCATATTTCCGTGGGTCAATTTGAGAAAAAAGACAAACAAAGCATACAGGGATATGTCATGAGCATATCATGAAAAAATCCTTTCAATATGTTTTTAAGAAACATTCGAAAATAATTCATTCTTAAATCGTGTCCCATTTTCGAGATATTCTCTGACATTTTATACACATTCATCCAATAGAGGGCCTCTCAAAAGAGCGACTTCAGATTTTTGGCATTTTACAAGTCATATATAAAATTGATTAATCATCTATTAATTAGATGTCACCACTTGCTATGAACTATGCTAGTGGTGAATATAAGCTAGTCAATTGCTGTGAGCTGGAGAGGGTGTATTTATATCACTTCTATCCTACCACGTGATTACGTGGTCGATGGGGATTTTCTGCTAATAATACACTGAAAACTGCCTGATGAATCTATACAATATATAGTAGAACACTTGGAATAAACATGTATGTAAAATCTAGTATAAGCTTACATTCAGAAATATGGAAATAAACAAACGTCCTACCTTTACAGCTTCACTGTAGCCTGTACTCCTTTAAAGGGATACATCAATGAGTTAAAAATAAAAAATCGGTGTGGAGAATGGACGGGGAATCGAAACACAATTCAGCGCGTAGGAGGTGAGGAACTTGCCACAAGATTACGCCTCTTTCTACCTCTCTCTTCCTGATTTAAACCTTAAAATTCGCCCAAGCATCGATCAACGTGGTTATTATAGCTATAAATAACACGTTCATTGTTCAACCAATCTACAATAAGCCGTTGATGAGAGATAGTCTAGAGAGATTAAACAACACTTAGAAACACCTTAGAAAAATGGCGCCCGTACATGTATATGATTTTTTGTGTTCTTTTCTGTTTATCAATACAATTTATATTTTGACACGATTGCGATAAAACGTATACCTAGAAATGTATGGCTAATTACCATAAGCGACTGGTAAATGTAAAAGTTGTTTGGTTTATCATATAAGAATCTGTAATAAAACCTCGATTGCCAAAATGAAACCATCGATTATGTTCAGTATGTTGCTATATATAATAAAAGTTTCCAGTCTTTTTTCAGTTGCCATTAAACAGAGTCATTAGTCATTTTGGATTTGCTAGATTGATGATGGCATGGGTTGTTCTTTTTCAATTTCAGCAATAAGTTAATCCTTTGTTATGGACATATTGCTACCTACAACCTTTGACATCATTTATCTAGTCAATAATCAGGTTCTTTGATGTACCAAATGATGGCAGGATTTATTGGAAAATAAACAACTTTTCATGTCCCCCATGCAGTATCGCTGAGCGTGAATTGATCACTCAAACTACGGATTTTATTTGCCCAAATAGCCTTGGATAACTGTGGTAACTAAAGTAACTGGAAAATGTAATAACGTTTTCGAACCTTTAGTGACATGAACAAAGGATTTTTAGCTTTTTCGATATAAGCTTAATTCACAATTTTCAGAAATTCACATCAGTTGATTATGCTTTGCACGCCGCTTAAAAGCGCCATCAAAGCGCTGTTGGTGTTTATCTCCGCGCTAAAATACCGACGATTGCAAAGGTAGTTTAATCCGGTAGCCGACAGGCGTTTCTTGCATTCGTGAATACAATTGCTAGTCCATTTCACTGTTGAATTGCGTCAGTAAAACCTAAAAATTAAGAAATCACAATATCATCATGCAATAATATATGGAAAAATATGTTCCTATTGTACATGAATGACATTTGTATAACTTGGATTGCTTCTAGTTTGGCTTATAAAGTGTGTGGCCTCTTATATATGGATGCTTCTCTGCCATGTTATTTTCAATAAGATTAACATGGCTGAAATTCTTCAAATTACAAGAGGTCACAGTCTTATTGCACAAAAAAACGAGAAGATCTGAAATATACAAATGTCATTCATGTACAATATGAATCTACTTTTCCATATATTATTGCACAATGGTCTCCCGATTTCTTATTTTTGGGGTTCTACTGACGCAATAAAACAGTGAAATGGACTCTAACCTTATATTCGCGAATGCAACTAACGCATCTCGGTTACCTGATTAACCCAGTATTCTATGAGTAACTCATTTAAATGTGAATGGAATAGTGGCAGGTACTATTCGTATTTACATGGGTCTCCAGTGAAATAGAAGGTTAATCCGGTAGCCGAAAGGCGTTATTTGCATTCGCAAATATAAGCTAAGACTATGATTTGGGAATGAAAGATTTCATCTACCGGATTAACATACTTTTCTATGGGCAACTCATTTAAATATTAAAAGTACCTGCCAATATTCCATTCATATTTTAATGAATTGCCCATAAAATAGTAGGTTAATCCGGCAGCCGACAGGCGTTAGTGGCATTCGCGAATACAAGATCATTTATTTTATAATTTGGGAAATATATATTTTCACAATATTGAAATAGATGGTGGTTCAAAGTGGAATACATATCATACAAAAGTGTCACAGATATGACTTGCAGGCATATACTTTTGGTATATTAGTCCATTTGTCACCCCTATACATCCAATAGTGAACCTGGAATTTGTTAAAAGTACGATGTTTTATAGTCGATTTATGATAATCAGGGTTTTTTGAAGTGATTTAACTGGGTTGCCGAAAAAGTTTGTTTGGGGAAAAAATTATGTAGGCTGATTAGGGAGGGGTGCAATCGCTTAACATGGCGTTGACTATTGACTTAGCGTTGGGATACCACCATATACCTGGTATGTTACTATGGTAATAGATACCAAAATTTTCCCCAAAGTTATTTTTTTGGCAACCCAGCTAAATCACTCCAATAATCCCTAATGATAGTATTTACACAGAAAAACATCATACTTTTAAATATTCATACGTTCAGAAAATGACAAATGGACTATATGGTCTTTCTTTGCATGACTTCGCAGAACATATCAAAACCCTGGGATCCACAGGGTAACAGTAACAGTAAGTACATTTCTAAGTTCATGCTTCAAAGTTGTCAAAGTTGTAAAAGGGTAATCCTTTTATGAGTACGAAAGCGTACTTTTTGTTGAATAGCCTTTCCCAGCTGCTAATCTTGTGAGTGCATCGTGCATTCAACGAATTGTATTCACTTATTAACCAATCAGTGCCAGGAACAAAATGCACGCTGACTTGTTTTATGAAGCATGCTACATACAAATGTTACGCTTTTGCTCATTTACTTTGCGAACTGTTTATATAATATACATTACCAATTGACTGCAAGATTTGAGTGAACAAGTACCTCGTATTTTTCATTTTTCGATATTTTGTGATTTGTTGGCTGATGAGTAACTTGATATTTTATGTCTAAATGTATCAAAGTGGTTCATAGTAATAGTTTTATTGTACACCATAAACTGTTAACGTTTTAGAAATAGAATACAATATATGATTTGATAATAGGACAATACATGTAATAATATGTCTAAACTCGGTGGTTTGTTTGTAAGTTTGTTTTTCTAACACCTCAATAACTTACATTCAATGCGTATCTAATCCTCATAATTTACAAATAAATCAGTTATAAATGCCCGATTTTCGACAGGTAAAGGTAATATATGAACCCTCGGTCCCCACTGTTCCTCTTGTAGATATATTATACATGTATAACCTTCTCAGATATATCCTGTAAATACATTAAATAACATATATATGTTAGTCTCAGCCTAGACAGTATACATTAATTTTATTGGATAATGCGTAAAATTCGAATGAACTTGAAATGAAATTCAACATCCAAAATATGTTAATTTGATCATTCACCGTGTAACTCAAAGCATATGCATGGCCTATTTGCCTTAAAATACGATTGTGATTATGATTTCTGTTCTCCACAAGTAAAATCTAGAAACATAACAGAGTTAAGTTACACGAAATTCAGTTAACTTGAACACGAAGTCTTTCAATTAACTTAAAGTGTCTGTTCGATGCTCATGGGGTCAAAATACAGTTTATACACGTTCTAAATGAAGTAAATACCACTAACATGTCGAACCAGTAACCGTTCTTGTAAACATTTTTATAAATGTGAAATTTAATGTTCAAAATCGGGAACACAATTTCAAATCTCTATCATGTCATCACGAACAGCACGGGTTTAGAATATGTTGTTGGAGTTCATAATCTCCGAACGTGCTTATAAAGTGTTAGTGTAATTGATTGCAACTGCATTCATTGAAGTGAGGAATTGATTCAGAGATGACTACTTTGGAGTCACGTTTTTTCCTCCGATAAACCAAAAAAAATAATACCTAAATTAGAGCCTCCGACCCAGCGGTACGTTTTCACATAGCTAGTCATGCAGAATTACTTTCTGGCCAGTCAGAACACAATATAGAAAATAAACACGCTCAGTTGATAGTATTACCTAACATAAGGCGTCTAAAATCTTGTAACCAAAAGGCATTGAACCATGAGGTGATTTCGGTAAGTGTTACTCCTTTCTGGCCAATCAGAACACGGTATAACATGAACACTTTTGAATTTACATTCGAGTTGCATAACGCATTGCCGATAAAAATCCATAACCGGTTCTATTCGTGACGTCATGTTTTTTCCCGGGAAATCTTATTTTGCCACTAATGAACAAATAGAATGAGTTAAGAGTCTGTTGGAATACAGTTTAATCGTTGATTCATTTCTATAGGTTTATTAGAACTATTACAACGATCGTTCATCAAACGAGTCCTATATTCAATATCTATTCGTTGGACCTATTCTTTAAGTGTAACTATATTCTTTAAAAGTATCTGCTTAGTGCTACGTTAACATATATTCATTATTTTTATCCACAAAATATCAAACGTTAATGCACAACTAGCCGAGACATGGCCCCCCTCGTCCAGAGTGAAACACAAGGTCCTCATTCTTTAATAATTATATTTCAATTATTTAGTTAAATGCTTAAATGTTGGAAAATGAGTCGCTGTGACGTCATATCTGGCACAGCAATTTCAGAGTCACTGCAATGAATAGAAACATCACAAGGATCTTAAGACTAAATAAATAAGCTATTTAGGGATGAATATAACATTCGGTGAAATCCGTGATATCGTTATATCATTCGTTGATCGTCAAAGCTGCGCCCATTCGCTACCCTCATCTGTGAAACTATCGATATAGAATTGAGTCTTTATTTTCTATTTCAAAACATTGGGATTTACGCGCACAAGAGATGCTATGTAGTAGGCTATTACAAAAATCAAAAAATCGCCACCAAAATTCCTCGGAGCAGGCAGATATAAGACCAGACTGGGCATACACAAAATGTATTGTATGTGCTCCTTAGATTGCACTCGGGTGCTATCAAAATCGAACACACACAAGTATAAGATACACAGCATCATGATAAACCATGACATCTCATTTCTTCTCAGCCCTGAGATGTTTCAGGTGAAACAGAAAGATGCTATGAGTATCAGAATGGATACACAGAGATAATTAAGGGATGAGTGACAAAGGGATGTTAAAAACAGGCGGCTATTGCAATTGATATTTTAATGTAACTTCCGAATGTAAGAATCTTTTCATCGATAAAAAGAACATCTTAGATATGTTCTATGTGAGTGTATTTGAAAATGTAGTACATAGCTAGTTCCATCTATAAAGATGTCTGATGACAAAAAGCTCAATTTTCCTTGATGTCACGGTCAATGGAACTTTAACACGTGAACTAATGTTTTTTATTTTTTTGTTTTAAAGTCACTTATAGCAAACCTAATCTAACAATTATCTCACGATATGCTTATGACATATTCATGTATACGTCGTTTGTATTTTTTTTTAAATCGACCCACGAAAATATGCAATACATCAAGTTAAAAAAGTAGTACGAATCATAGAAGCGACGTTGGGTGGTTCACTAGTAATTTGTTTATGGAAAATCTAGAAATATTACTCAAATTAATTTATGTCTATTCAAAAGAAGACATTCAAATCTATATTATGTAAAAAAATCAAATTTGTCCGAAGCAGGGATAGCGCTCTATTAGAGTGATGAACTTCGTTCTCCAAACCGAGAATCATCCTTTACTGATGAAAACAGCTAATACCACAAAAGCCTACAAGACAAAGAGCCACTGTATGCAGCACAGATATTTCATTGTTTTGACTTGCATAACACTCTGTGATATAAATATATTCTCAGAATTATAGAGCTAAATTGATGATACCAGGAAATATGCTGTTTGAAATGAAATATGATTTTGTCGTCATTTTGAGGTAATACTTTCGTTCTCTATTCATAAATTATTTAAAGTCTTTTGAGAAACTAGGCATAAAACAACTTCCTGCTTTCATTTATGAGCCAATTCTTCTTAACTTAAATGTATGAATAAGCCTCACGTAAATTCACATTTTCTTAACAACCAACTGCTGTTTCAAGCAACCATTTTACTAGTACTTAAAATCTTTCGATCGGTATGTGTGTGAATACATTCAGAAAATTAGGATAATTTGTGATATACAATAAAACCTGTGTACAGTAATCAACTATCGAGCCAAAAATTTTAGGTAGATGTTCATTACAGAGAGGGTAGTTGATACATCAGGAGTCAGTCCTGCGAATGAAATGGTGTCCACTAGAGAGATTTAGATGTATTCAGTAAAACATGTACTTGGAATTATTTACCCGTTTTCAATGTATTTTTCAATGTTTCCATGTTTGTAGTCCTAGAGGATAAAACTAAGATGTTTTACGAAAACGCTGAAATATTTTTCTTGATGAGATCACTCTATGCAGACTTAGTCTATGAAATATTACAAATTAAAATTAAAAATGACCGTTAATATCCGCACCTTGCGCACATGATATCCACACCGCTTATTTTTCTATAGCACAGTCTGTATAGGGTGGAGATAAGGAATGTGTCCTGGGATGATTTAACCAGCATGGACCCCGAAATCGCGCAAAAGAAGTGCTACCCGTACCCAATACTAATACGTTTTTATATAGAGCTTCGAATTGTTCATAATAACTTGGATCAATGTTGCCAAATGGATAACAAATAAACAAACATATTATAGTTAAGAATAGTATCAAATTATAAAAATAAAATACACTTTATACATGTATGATATAATAATATAAAAATATAATATAATATGATTAATATAAGAGTCGATAATGTCCTTTTAACCCATTTGTTCCAAATAAATTTTGAGCCCTAACTGTTAAGCATCTTCATGAGGTCATCAAGATCTTAAGAAACAATGTTCCCTCCATGTTTGGTTCTATGAACGTTCATCATTGCCTGTTGTTAAACATGGGGCTGTACCGTAGGTTCGTTTCCTGAAGATCGGTGATCCCATCGCATATTTTGGAAACTTGCTTCAGACGAACACACGTTATAATACTTACAATAAATATGATAATACCAAGAGATATCACTATTGAGAGAACGATTACACCAGCAGAGGATGGATGTGTCGTTTCACCTGAATAGTAAAAACAATCAACAACAACCTACTCATCTTTACAACATTTATCAATGCTGGATCTGCAGGAGACCTGCATTCGTTCGTAAGTAAGAGAAGGTCCAAATGAATGTTTTTTTTGTGTGATATTGTTCTAGTCTCTGACAATTTGTGGACGGTGTTCTGCTGGTCAGCGTTCGAAATTTGGCAGTCGGCGAATAGCGTCTGTAAATAATGACGGGTGGTGACATATTGTTATACACTCTTTGTTATAACTTTTAAGGACGTTGGTTGGTCTTCGGCGTCTGTAACAAATGACAGGTAGTGACATTCTGCATGTTAATGCCTCGCCGTTTTTATTTCAACACGAAAAGTGGTGACAAGTTATTTTGACCAAAGTTTTAAAAAAAAATTGTATTCGGCTTTCGTGGATCGGTGTCCACGGTCAACACTCTATATCTATATGACTATATTAATAATTCCAGTTTTTTATTTAAAATAAATGCTCACCTTGTTTCCCAGTAGTCGGCTGAAAAAAAGCAAGTGTTGCTTTGTCGGGTCTTAAATAAGCGTGGACAAATGTGAAGGATGAGCTGCCGTTGTATCCGATTCAGTTTCATGAAAAATTGGAATGCATTCTTCAACCATTTCGTCCCAATAGTACTCTAAGAATGAAACACTTTGTTGTTGTACTTATTACATGGTAACCACATTCATGAGATAATTTAAAGCCATAATTTGTAGAATGATGCAAACACATCTTAAAAAATCACTGTTATTTATCTTTTTCACGGATTCCTACAATTATGAAAGTCAATAGTGTAAATAACGAAACCAAATGCCCGTGATCATTACATTATTTGTCGTAAACATGCATAGAATTACATGAGGCTACCTGATTTACAGCCTCCACATTTTGTGTCCGAGTTTGAGCTACACCCAAGCTGAACTATTCGTCGATTTCCACAGTCCGTACATGGCATACACACATCACCAGCGAGATATTCATTTGCCTCTGGTGTTCTGCATTTGGTATTGATGTATCCAGAACAGTGAGTTTCAACGCACTTTCCCACTGGACATCGTGAACACGCATGGCATCTTACAGATCCGTCTTTTTTAACCAGTAAAAACTCAGAAAATGGTCTGCATTTTGATTCGATTTGTTTCTCTGGTACGGGGACACCGCCTATCACTACCTGTAAAAAATAGGATATGATTAGACTTCAATATAGGCCAGAGGTGCATTTCTTATATTGGTGCTCCGAATTCGGATTTAACCTACTTACAATTATTGCGATTAAACGCCATGACTTGCATGACGTCACTATGATGCTAAATGATGTCATTCCTTATATAGGTTGTCAAGTAGACCTTCTTATTTTGCAACAGTGCTGTAATATTCAAGGGAAAGATCAATACCCGGTGATTTCAGCGGGAAGTGGCGTTTCGTTCATTGGATGAGCTGCGCGCGCACGCATAAATGTGATTATCCAATATAATTAGGGGAGGGCTATTTGAAGTAGTTTTTGGTCTCAGGCGCGACCCAGGGCTGTTGTCTTAAGGACATTTCGTTGAAAATGAGCCATTCGGCTGATAATTGGTAAGAGTTTGCGATCTTATAATGTATAACTGTTACTCAGACACATATTTTGACACGATTCTGTTGGAAATAAGCTTTGAACCGAGAGATATTCACGATTGATATGCACATTTTTGATTGTGCCATTGCTTTTCTATTGCACAACCCATGTATTGATAGAAGAAACATTAATAATACAGATTGGTTTACCTTCAATACATGGCAGACACTACATATCGGTCTATTAATACCAGTTTGTGCCTTAAATAGTTTTATATTTCCATCCACGGCCTGGAGCCTGGGTGTGTTTGTCTCTTATGTGTATGCTTGTGCATGGACTTCTAATCACTAGCAGAATTTAACATGATGCAAACTCGACATTATAACTCATGCTGTAACATTTTGACTTCGCTGGAAAACAATAGGAATTATTTTTCTTGCCAATCAATCATGAATCACAATCAAAATTTCAGAATGATCAATCAGGCAATGATCCAAATCAAGTTATAACATTATATGATATTCAGCAAGAAGTCCGGTAGAAATACAGAATATTTAAACATCAAAGCTGAAAGTTAAAAGCTAATCTGTCAATTTTCTGTCTGCAAAAGAGCGTCCCAAGAGCGTTTACATTTGACACAATAACAGACTGAGGCCTTGAAATCTAGGATTCCCCAGGAAAATATGACGTCATACTAATTAGCATAAGGATTTCCCTATTGGGGTGGGTCGAGCCTTGTTCGAAAACACAATCCATAAATACATGCTAATTTCTAAGGAGATAGGAAGTGTATAACGTGTTTATCGATTTTGTTTAAAGATTTAATCAATTATCAAATTGTTTAAGTGGATAAAGTGGTCACACTTTTCAATTCATAGCGAAATCGACGGATAGAAACTGACCGAATTCCCGATATCCTACCCCGTATTACTGTAGGCTATAAGCACAGTGACCTACAGAGGGCGCTATCACAAACAAGTACTGGACGAACCGATAAATTCCCGGGTATTGTAACGCCCTTGTAATATTGAGCTGTTGTGTATTTCACTTATGTGTTTATTAAAATGAGACGCGTGAATGTTGATAAATAAAGAACGTTACAGCCAGCAGGGACGCTAATAGACAGCTTAATTCTGAGAACTTGTAGATGACCCACATTACATGAGTTCGTACCCCCTTTTCAACAACTTTCAACAACAAATCAAAATCCACTTGAAATTTTGAAAGTTAATGTGTTCATTTAAGATTTACAAGATTTATTCATTCTCTGGGACAATATTGTCCTTACAATACCTTTTGAATTGTATTTCTAAGAAACGAAGATATGACATTACTTTCGTTTCTGGTATATATCACTAAAGGTATTCTTTAATAAGTTTTTGAAGGTTGCTGTAAAATGTAAGAAGTTAAACTGAAATGAAATAAATAATACAAAAAGTTGTTTTTTCTTTAACAAATGTGTCTATCTGTTTTAAACTATTGGTTGTATGAGAACTATGTAATCATGGGACCCCGGGCATTGGGCTTAAAAAAGTCAATATTTTGAAAAAGCTGTTATTTGCAATTGGCGTCATGGCAAGTGGAGAAATGCCAAGTTTCACTCTTATACGAGGTTGAAGGTTGCGTTTGTATTTTATATTCCTGGGATTTCATTGTCACGATGACACATAATCCATTTGCACCTTGAAATACAAATAATCACCTGGATCAATACTCCTAAGTTACACTCGATGGCACTGAAAATACAGACAACCAAGTGAAGAAGCTTGGCATCGTATTGGTTAAGAATGGCCACGTGGCTTGAATTGAGAAGGATGGGTAGTCATCTTATCTTAGCGTTTAGGGTGTCAGGGGACCAAGATAGCTCTTCAAGAAATAAGATGTGAATATTTAATGAATTTAGTATTTTTCAAATATGATTTTTAAATGGATCCTGTTTGCAGTTTTATCTGCATCACATATCAACCAGGTTGAGAATACGATCCGGGATGAAGATGATGGGATCCAAACTCTTGAGAAACGACGAGGGGAATCCCATTATTTGATTTCGAAACCGCAGCTATTGACATTTCTTGCTCGTACAAATGCAGAAGCAAATAACAGGACGCGTAAACATGGTTATAACTTTAGCGAGAAGCTCAAAAGGTGGAGGGTTCGTCGCGGAACGAAAAAATCCAAGAAAGATAAGGTTAGTGATTCAGTATAATGAGAGAGAGGCCTAACTAGAAATACCCGTTATGTTTATGTTACTCGGAGTCTCAATTTCACAATACAGGGGTGCAGGGACGTACATGTAGGCAGCGTCAGTCAGGAGGGGTGTGAACGCCAATTTTTTTTTTTTTTTGGGGGGGGGGGTTTAGTATGAGGGGTGCGATCGTGACATAAGCAAGGCAAGACAAATCTTTTTTAAAGATTTGTTTTGAATTTTAAAAAATTGATGCAACTCTCTTTAAAATTGCAGTGCATACATGTACAGTACATGTACAGTGGCCATAGAATATTGTAACATTCGTGTGTTTCTACTAAATTAGATAAAATATGAGGGCTAGACCTAAGTGAACCTTTTGTTGATCCCAACATTATCTTCTCCAGTTGGGATAACCCTGTTTTTTTATTTCCAGAAAGTCTACATACATGTAGAACCAGTGATGGAAAGTCCCTATGCTATAACAGGAGGGTTTGATTTAAATGGTAAGAAATGTTTTTTGCTTAGACCACTCCATCTGTGTAAAAAGTGTTCTGAGAAAATTTCATTTAAAATTTTAGTTCTCATTGAAACCAATACAGTACAGAAATATTCAAATAATGATAAACCAATCTTTTCCACTGATACAGGCCAACTATTGCCTTATTTTGGTAGCGTATTTAGAACAGATTTGTACGAGAAAAATATCAAATTTGAAATAAATAATGCATCGCATTTTTTCAAAAATGCTATATAACCCGATGTATAATGAAATGATGTGGTTTATCAGGAAATAATGTTACTTTTTACTTACTTTTTAAATATTTTTTTTGTAATAAAAGCTTAAGCTACATTTACTTCTGAAATATTTGATAAGTTAGTTCTATTCTTTGTAGGAAATATTCAGTGTAATTGGACTGCGAAATCAAGGTCTAATATAAAACTCTACACTGATTCGCCACACATAGGACGGCGACGTGGCTCAATCGAGACTTACATCGGCATTCAATACACGAGAAATTATTACATCTACGGGCAGGTATTCTTCCACGCTCAGAACATTGAGATGGGCCACTGTTTGTACGTGGCTGACACCTATGAGCGTCCTTGTAAAAGTATCAGCTGTAGAGAACGACCTGTAATGTGTTCACGGTCTGCCCCAGGACATCCAGAAAGTTCAAATATTGTGGAGAATTACAATACAAACTATATAGGTGGCGTGGTTAGATTAAAACGAGGTTCCACAATTCGACTGGGGGTACTTTCAGGCCATCATAAAGACATGGCAAGATCTGTTAAAATTGATAATTCTACATGCTACTTTGGGGCATTTGCAGTTTCATAGAAATTGTATAAGGTTATTGCGTTACCATATGGCCAATGTCAGAAACGTACCTGGAAATCAAAAAGAGAGGAGGGCAAAATGTTGAGCCCCAAATCTGAAAATCTGGGCCCAATCTCTCCAAAATTGCCCAGTTTATGTGGGGAGAAGCAGATTTGGGGCTTAACAGTTTTTTTGATTCTCAGGTTTGGAGCCCACCAAAGGAAGGGGTGGGCTCCAAATCTATACTCAGCTCCCCCCCCCTCCATATCCGCCACTGAATGCGCTCTGTATGGCATTAAAAAACACGAAGTACATACACTCTACAGGGTGGGCCAATAGAAAGTGAAAGAATTTTGAACGATTATCCATACAGAGAAAGTACATTGGAACAAGTTCCTTTTCACCCATATAGCTCTTAAACTGCCTTTTAATAAGTTTTGGTATTTTGGTAAGTTATTGCGTCGAATTTATACTTTTCAGAAATGTGCCCTCTAGATACGATACTCTCTTTTCAATTTGTATATACTGTATTGGATTGTTCACTTATTGAATGTCTCTTTTCAGTAATAAAATTTGAATGAACATCAAAACAGGCAAAAAAATATACAGATAGGTATATTTCGCAGAAGTTTTAACACAGTTTCCACATAATGTTTACCCTCATTTGTTATTTGCAATATCGACCATTGAATGTGTTTTAATGTCAAGAGGGTATACTTAGAAATATAGATACAATAGTTCAAGTTCAGTTCTAAGAAGTCAATCAAAAACATTTAAGCAAGGCAACCATTCACTCAATATTCATACTAGTATTAAATAATGAAATTAAATTATTTAAGGAATTAAGCCCTCTTACCCTGCGTGTAGAGTCTAGTTATAAACTACTACTATTACTGAAGACGAAGCTCAGTTTTAAGAATCAAGTCGAATGAATGCAAAGGGTAAAGCCATGGAATCAGTGCATTGTGGACTGAATTATTCCTCTGAATATTGTTTTCAAATCTTTACATGACTCCGCAGCGGGAATGCAAAGTTTAGGAATGGAATGAATCAGCCACAATGCATCAAGTCTTGGACTTAAATTATTTTCACGCATTGAAAAATATTTTCAACGAAATCCCCTTAAAGATACGAAATCAATGAAAGAACATATTTCCAATGAAACTGCTTGTAAGGGTCAAGTTGGCAAAGCATCAATATCAACCAAAACTTAAGATATCACCTTGACAACCTAACGAATGACCTTGGGAGTAGTGATTGGTTATAAAATAGAGTGCAGTTAGAACATATGAAATGCTGTGTTCGGATTAGGTGGAATCAGACACACCTTGCCTAGCTGTGTGTGAATTACTCGTATACTGATGGAAATTCAAACGGTTTCAGCAATGTCAGTGACGAGCTTGTATTCGCAAATGCAACTAACGCATGTCGGCTACAGGATTAACCTACTTTTTTTATGGCCAATTCATTTAAGTATGAATGGAATAGTGGCAGGAACTTTTCATATTTAAATGAGTTGCCAGTAAAATAGTAGGTTAATCCGGTAGCCGACAGCCGTTAGTTGCATTCGCGAATACAGGCTATGCCTCGCTTCGTCAAGATTTTAATTCAATCGCCCACTCCTTACTACTCAGCAATACACTCGCCATGTTATTGCTCATTCACTTGTGTCAGAAAGAATTATGAAAACATGGCATCATTAAATTATTTGATAACACTGGTGATCCACTCGATTACGCTGGTTACCAAAACGGTTCGTTTTGGTAACAAAATGTCGGAACATCCGGAAGGTACGATTTTTCTCGTTTCCTTATTTTACACGTTGTAGGCAGAATTCCCACGACATTTTTTAACACAATATCATATGTTTAAGAAATTGTACATATTTGCGAACAAATAGTTCAGAAGACAACAGAATCGTCGATTTACTTCCTCACTTAAGTTACATAAACGGTTTGGGTTAAAAGTGCAGATCTTCACTGTTTTTCGAAAAACCGTTTATGTAACTTAAGTGAGGAAGTAAATCGACGCTTCTGTTATCCCCTGGGCTATTTTTTCGTAAACATGTACATTTTCTAAAACATATGATACTGATGCACGTTGTGAGAAAAAACGTCGTGGGGATTCTGCCTACAACGCGTGAAATAAGGAAAAAAGAAAAATCGTGCCTTCGACGTTCCGACATTTTGTTACCAAAACGGTTCGTTTTGGTAACAAGCGTAATCGAGTGGATCACCAGTGTGATAAGTAATCAATACACATATTTTTATTAACGCTGCACTGTATATCCTCTAATTTTAATGATATGACATTCGGTGAACATACTTGAAATTGAAATTGACTTTTGTCCTCAGCAAAATAGAATGGCACCTCATTTCGCAATCTGTATAATGGATGTTTGTACAAATATCTCGGAAATGCATCCCTCTACTCTGTTGTTTCAATCAGTTCGGTCGCTTATCATTGTTGTTGAGATTATACAAGGAAAGCAAGTGCTTTGATCTGACTTGTAATACTATGAAATAAGAAATATGCGGAAGTAAATTCGAATATTTATTTTTATTTCTATGACTCTATATGCGTGACTAAAGGGATTGTAGGCTTGCAAATTCAAATCCAAAGGGGCTGGGATAAATGTCATATTGAATGAGGAAATTAAACAAAATTATGACCTAAAGTCTCCTAAACTTGTGACATTTGGAATTTCCTCGAATTAGTGTTTACGAGTTTAGCCTAAACGCAAAGGAGTGGTATCGATATATGGAGAACTTTTTGAACACACGTTTCTCTTAAACCAGTCATAAAAAATCTAAAAATTAATACATCGTCAATTTAATGGTCATCTTTTGAATGGTAACAATATAATTTGAAATATGTATATATACTTTCATCCATACGTCGTCGCGAGAGAATAACTTTGTACTAACTGCCATTTTCAAAAAAATTGAGATAGACATGGAATTTTACTATTTGAAACACAGGCTTTCATCTCAGATACATGCCCCATCTCAATTCCCTCTCATTAAGCTAGAATTCCGTGTGAAATTGTACCATCTCCAGACAAACAGCTTATTTCTAATTTCAAATTGTCATATCTGATATCAACTGTTTCAACCAATCAACTCTCTAAGAATTGGTCATGTGACTTGTAAAACTTGGAGTTATAACAATCTTATATTAAAACGAAGTATGCCAATATGCATGTTATTGTATCTAGAATGAAATAATGTTTTGTAACACAATACCATGCCAGTTTGCATGCCTGGCCTTTCATGTTTTAATTTTAGAACTATTACAAGTAGATCAAAAAAATAAAATGATACAGTATGTGTAATCCCATGCATATTCAAATTATATGCCCTCAATTACTCTTTGTATTATGGATGCTCATTGGATTATTCATAGCCACATGATATGAAATAGAATTACTAATTTCTTCGAAAACCTAAATCCTTGCTACCAGGGAAGATGAAAAGTACAAATGACCAGTTAATTAGATCATGTGAGCAGTCAAAAGCACCCTTTATCTTCCCTGCTACCAGGTCTTATGGGGGTTTGAATTGCCAAATGCAATAGAAATGCATATACGAAGCTGTCATCATTAAATGTTGAAAATGAAAGACTACTTATTTGTTTCTTCAAATAGAGTACATAATAATAGGTTATACAAGGGGCGATCCATATATTCTGATAAAAATGCTCTCATTTTGCTATTTTTTCACATATCCATCTCATATTTTCAGAAAATGTAGATTATGTAATTACACATACAATGCCCAAATATTATAGCTACATCTTAAATTAATTAAGAGATAGGGTTACCATGGTAACCTGTATTAAGGGTAGGCAGGTCAATTAAATTATAACGTATAAAATATCATAATAACTTGTTATTTTAATTATTTTAAAGCATGTGGAAATCATATTCATTTTTTCTTAAAAAAGTTTTGTATTGTTTCTCGTTGTTTGTTGCTAAACAAATGTTTATTTGTGATCACATCACAACAACTCACAATAGCAATGTATGACATGATGGGCAAATTGGAATTACATGTCATGAGACACACTAAATTTCAAAATGACCGATCAGATGAGGTTAGTGCGGCTGCAGCAGAGTGTGACATTAACAGATACATTAGGGGTACCATTAGATTTTATGTACTATCAAGAATAAGTAAGAGGACACTGGCAGAGGCATACATGGACTCATATAGTGTATGGACAAGGTGTTATGTCTGCTCTAAGGATCTCTCATAGTATTGTAAATTTGAGGAAGGCTACTCACTGTTGAATATCATTCCCAATCTGTTTGCAAGAAGAGCTTGCGGACAGAGAATAACACTACGATAATTTGAGATGCAATTTATGAAAAAAAACTATTCCACTGTGGAAATAGCAAACAAAGGTAACAGGGGTATGGAGCAGTTCAAGGAATAGTTGGCATTGACCTGGATATGCGTTTGATCTGCTTGAAATAGGTACCGAGGAATGATTAAATTAACAAATTTATCTATTTTATTCGTTATAATTTAACTGACCTGCCTACCCTAAATACAGGTTACCATGGCAACCTTATCTCAAAAATTATTTAAGATATAGCTATAATATTTAAGCATTGTATGTGTAATTACATAATCTTCAAGTTCTGAAAAAATGAGATGGATATGTGAAAAAATCACAAAATGAGAGCATTTTTATCAGAATATATGGATCGCCCCTTGTATAACCTATTATTATGTACTCTATTTGAAGAAACAAATAAGTAGTCTTTCATTTTCAACATTTAATGATGACAGCTTCGTATATGCATTTCTATTGCATTTTGCAATTCAAACCCCCATAAGACCTGGTAGCAGGGAAGATAAAGGGTACTTTTGACTGCTTTTCACTGAACATCTGGGATCTTTTTAGTTATTTTATTACGAGTATGTTTTTCAGATTTGTGCTTTCTTTTGCATTTTTGGGATCATTGTTTTTAGATCATCTACATTTTATTTTGGAAAAGTAACAAATTGGTTCAATTTCTTTACAAAGAGCCACTCTTAGTCTCCACTTCTACGATTGCTTCAATTCCCAATTGTACTCCACAGAGTAGCAAACAACAGAAAATGAATGGATAATGATAGCTGCATCCCAAAGAACAAAATGTGATTACCTAAATCGAGGTTTCATCACTTTCATTAATCTAAACTGAATTAGAAATTATTTTTCTATTTTCAAATTTCTTCTCCATGTGCACGTTATAAAAATTGGTTATGTCTTAGGCCCTAAGGATCTGAAACCTGCTGGTCAAAATGGAATTACGGACCAGTTGAAATATTATTCTCCTATACCCAGTGAAAAAATCAACTGGTCTGTATCAAAAATAACCTGATAATGACCAGCGGACCGGCCCTTAGGGGCTACATTGTAATGTGCTGGGAGGTTTAGGCTATAGGGTTTATACCGAGGGAAATATGTGGGGGACCGTATTGGCATCATTGGTTTCAATGCATTGTACTTCTGCCTTAGTTTCAAAGGCAATAAATTCTTTTTGAAGGGTGTCCTGAGATTCCCAAATTAAGAAATAATTGTACTTATTTGAGAAATTGATTTTAAAGTTTAATAAATTGAATTTTCTTTATTTTATTAAATAATATTCTTTGGTTTTTGAAGATTTTTTTACAAAACAAAACATTATTTTTCATTCTAGATACAATAACATGCATATTG